TGCTTATGGTATGTAGTGTTTAGGGTTACCAGTTTGTGCAGGTGATGCAGTGTGTTTGTGTGTAGTGGAAGCAGTGTGTATTTGTGTATAAGGGATGTATTATGTGTTTCTGGTTGTGTGCAGGCCCGGACTGGCCATCGGGCATACCGGGCAAATGCCCGGTGGGCCGCGATGGCCGTGGGGCCGAGGCCGGCAGGGGAGATCACAGAATCTCCCCTGCCAGTCCGTGCAGGGCCAGCGCTATCTGAGCGCCGGCCCTGCTGTGCGCCTCCATGGGCCGGTAGGGAGATCAAAGATCTCCCTCACCGGCCCAGAGGCATGGAAATGCGGCCGCCGGCTGGGTGAGGGAGGAGGAGAGCTAACCAGCAGCTCCGCCGGGTCCTCTCGCGGGATTCTGAGCGTTGCCGCGGCAACGCTCAGATCTCGCGAGAGTGAACTCTAACCTGCAGGTTAGAGTTCACTCTCATCACTGGGCCACCAGGGATGGATGGCAGAACGGCTCCCCTCCCTCCATGGCAGAACGGCATGGCTCCCCCCCCACCCCCCAGGATAAAGGTAAGAAGGGAGGGGGGGAAATAACTTTTTTTTTTATTAGTAAAAAAATATATATTTAAATTTAAATAAAAAATACATTCACTCACACACACAGCACCCAGACACAGCACCCCCAGACTCCGCACACCCCAGACACACACAGCACCCCCCAGACACACACAGCACCCCCAGACACAGCACCCCCCAGCAGGACACACACAGCACCCCCCAGACACACAAACCCCCAGACACACACAGCCCCCAGACACAGCACCCCCAGAGACACACACAGCACCCCCCAGACACACATAGCACCCCCAGACACACACACTTCCAGACACAGCACCCCAGACACACACAGCACCCCCCAGACACACACAGCACCCCCAGACACAGTAACTCCCCAGACACACACACACAGCAACTCCAGACACACACAGCACCCCCCAGACACACACAGCAATCAGAGAGACACACACACAGCACCCCCCAGACACACACAGCACCCCCAGACACACACACACAGCACCCCCAGACACACACAGCCCCCAGACACAGCACCCCCCAGACACACACCCCCAGACACACACAGCACCCCCAGACACAAACAGAACCCAGACACACACTGCACCCCCAGAGACACACTGCACCCAGACACACACAGCACCCCCAGACACACACAGCACCCCCAGACACACACAGCACCCAGACACACACAGCGCACCCAGACACACACAGCGCACCCAGACTCACACAGCACCTCCCAGACACAGCACCCCCTAGACACACACAGCACCCAGACACACACAGCACACTCCCACACACAGCACCCCCAGACACACACACCCCCAGACACAGCACCCCCTAGACACACATAGCACCTAGACACACACAGACTCCCAGATACACACAGCACTCTAGATACACACAGCACTCCAGACTCACACAGCGCACTCCAGACTCACACAGCACTCCCCCAGACACACACAGCACCCTGACACACACAGCACCCCCAGACACACACACTGCACACACACTGCACACACAGACACACACAGCACCCCCAGACACACACAGCACCCCAGACACACACTGCACCCAGACACACACACTGCAACGACTCACACACTGCACCCAGACTCACAGAAGCGCACTCAGACACACACAGCTTAATCTAGACACACACAGCGACCCACACACAGGCACCCCCCAGACACACACAGCACCCCCCCAGACACACACAGCACCCCCAGACACACACTGCACACAGACACACACAGCGCACACAGACTCACACAGCACCCCCAGACAAACACAGCACCCCCAGACTCACACAGCGCACCCAGACTCACATAGCGCACCCAGACTCACACAGCGCACCCAGACACACACAGCACCCCCCAGACACACACAGCACCCCTCAGACACAGCACCCCCTAGACACACACAGCACCCAGACACACACAGCACACTCCCACACATATACAGCACACACACACATACATATATATATATATATATATATATATATAAAATAACCCTCAGTGAGTTAACAGACGAAGAAAATTAGAAACCTAGAATGTGACAGCAGATAAAAACACCCTCACACACAGCACCCCTCTTACATACACACACTGCGCCCCTCACACATACAATAAGTCCATATATATATATATACATACACACACACACACACACTACAGCACCCCTCACACTGCACCACTACACACATTACGCTCCAGATACACACTAGATCCCTTACTCTATATGCACTCTTTATCCTCTATACACACACACACACACACACACTGGGTCCTTTACACAGTAGATCTCCTACACACACACACACTACATTCCTTGTCAGCAAACACATACAACATTCTCTAAACACACCCTCTCTGCAACCCCTACACACACTACGTCACCTATACACACACACTTCAGCCCGTATGCACACACTCGCTGCATCCCCTATAAAACTATGCCCCCTATACACACACTCTCTACAGCCCCTAGCCACACATATTACACCACAAACACAAATTAAATTGACCTATTTACACAATACCACACCACACTCTACACACACGCAATCCCACAAGCAGGCTCCAAACATATGCACCATGCACTTTCCTGGCCCATTTGTCCTCTGGTATCCCACTTGTGGAGACACCAGAGACAATTTAAAAGCAAACACAGCACAAGCATGTTATTACATTTGCTTGCGCTGCGCAGAACAAATTCAGGGCCTTTTTCTAATGCCAGAGCTCTTCAGCAGGGCTCTGGGCATTGAACCAACATGCTCACTTTGAGAGGGGGCGTGTTGTCATTAGTGATGACAAAACACACACTCTCTGGCCCCGCCCCCTTCTTAGGGGGCCGCTCTGATTGAAAAATGCCCGGGCCTAATTTTTTTCCCAGTCCGGCCCTGTGTATGTATGTGTGTGCTGTATGTATGTGGGTGCTGTATGTCTGTGTGTGCTGTGTGCATAGGCGTGCGCAGCCTATTGCATTAGGGTGTGCACCCTAAAGCACAAGCACACGCTGCATTTATATATATATATATATATATATATATAATGTGTATGTATGTATGTATGTATGTATGTATATATATATATATATATATATATATATACACACACATATATACACACACTGCTGTGTGAGGGTGCTGTTAGTGTGATGTGTGTGTGACGGTGCTGGTAGTGTGCTATGTGGTGAGGGTGTTTGCGTGTGTGTGCTTGTGAGGATGCTGTTAATGTACTGTGTGTGAGGGTGCTGTTTGTGTGTGTGTGTGTGCGCTTGTGAGGGTGCTGTTAATGTACTGCGTGTGAGGGTGCTGTTTGTGTGTGAGGGTACTGGTAGTGTGCTGTGTGTGTGTTTGTTAGGGTCCTGTTTGTGAGGGTACTGTTAGTGTGCTGTGTGTGTGTGAGGGTGCTGTTTGTGTGCTGTGTGTGAGGGTGCTGTGTGTGTTTGTGAGGGTGCTGTATGTGTGTGTGGGTGCTGTATGTGTGCTGTGTATGTCTGTGGGTGCTGTGTATGTCTGTGGGTGTGTGGTGCTGTATGTCTGTGGGTGCTGTATGTCTGTGGGTGCTGTGTGTGTGTGGTGTTGCTGTATGTCTGTGGGTGCTGTGTATGTGTGTGGGTGCTGTGTGTGGGTGCTGTATGTGTGTGGGTGCTGTGTATGTGCTGTATGTGTGGGTGCTGTATGTGTGTGGGTGTGGGTGTGTATGTCTGTGGGTGCTGTATGTGTGTGGGTGCTGTATGTCTGTGGGTGCTGTATGTCTGTGGGTGCTGTGTATGTCTGTGGGTGCTGTGTATGTGTGTGGGTGCTGTATGCTGTATGTCTTTGTGTGCTGTATGTATGTGTGTGCTGTATGTATGTGGGTGCTGTATGTCTGTGTGTGCTGTGTGTGTGTGTTGTATGTGGGTGGGTGATTGTGGGGGTGGAGTACATGACTTGCTTCCCCCCTCCCTTCTTACCTTTTGTAGGGAGGGGGATCGTGCTGCTGATTACATCCCTGGTGGTCCAGTGGAGAGTGAACTCTAGCCCCCTGTGGGGCTAGAGTTCACTCTCGCGAGATTTGAGTGTTGGCAACGCTCATATCTCGCGAGAGGAACCCGGCGGAGCTGCCGGCAAAAGCTCCGCCGGGTCCTCTCCTGCCTCCCTCCCTGCATGTGGGTTGGTGGGGAGGGAGGCTGAGAGCAGAGCAGAGCCGGCGCTTGGATAGCGCCGGCTCTGCATGAGCCAGCAGGGGAGATCCTGAGATCTCCCCTGCCGGTCTCAATATGCATAGGCGTGCGCGGGGATTAGGGTGTGCCCAGGCACACCCAGCACACCCCGTGCGCACGCCTATGCATCCAGGGTTATTTAGTGTGTATTGCAAGTAATTCAAAATTAATTTTAAAGGTAAGGCCTAAATAGCTGAAATTGGAAAAATATCCTAGTCAGCTTCCAGTTACTTTGGCCTTGCATTTGAAATTTTCTTTGAATTCCTGATATTTTTAACTTTAGTAAATAAAATTGTAGGTTTGTTTGGGCAGGACCCTCTTCAGCTACTGTTCCTGTACGTCAATCTTGTTTTGTTAGAATTTAGTGTTTGTTGTGTTTACCTAATTTACAGAACTGCAGAATGTTATATTAGTAATTGTAATTTAGATTCCATGGCTGTGCTCATAATTGAGTAAATAATATGAATTACCACTAAGGCCTGTCCTCTCATTTGCAGGACGTGATAATGAGCACTCCTGAAAACTTGAGAGTCTATGTCTGTTTAATATTTAGAGTATGTTTCTAACATTGATGAAACCATTCACTAATCATATCTATAGTGTGTAATTGTTAATACAACAGAAAATCCCATTAATATTTTTTTTTTCTAATGGAGGTCCAGATTTATGTAAGAAGTATGTGTAGCGTGTAATGAAGTAAGAGCTGTATGTAAATCATGAACAAAACAAGATTTTGAAAGTTTGCACTGAAATTTATAAGATAAAAAGAGATGTTCTGAATAACAGTTCATCGAGACAATTATCCTTTAAAACCAAACCAACAACATACCAATAGCAACATTTTAGCGGTTTGAAGCTGTGTTCTTCCCACACGTTGCATCCTTTAAAAAGGGAATGTCAGAAAACAATACAAAGCTTTCCTTCACACTTTCTAAAGAATGACATGTTGGCTTTTAATTGGTGGAAACATTTGACTATATCTGCTGTTCCCAAGAAGATCAAAGTTACAACTTTGGAAAAGTGAAACATGAAAGATCATTTTATATAACAATCCATGAAATCATACTCGAATCCATGTTAATAAATAAAGAGTATTTTTTTTCAACAGTAGCTTAAACTGTTTAGTGAATATTATTTTTTTTTTTTTTACAAAGGAAGCCATAGAAATACAGTATATACATAGTACTAACAGTACACATACACTAAAAAAAAAATGGCGCACATAATGCCTTGAACAAATCACTTCCCATGCTAGAATAATGTACCACGTACTGCCTTGCAATCCGTTGGTAATGATTCTGGCACTGAAATGGTTTAGAGAACACTCCAAGCACCATAACCACTGAAGTGCACAGTTTTCTAATGGTTTGACAAATTACCTGGGGTTCACGGGACATGCATCACTTGCTCCATTGAGATCCAAAAGCTCTTCGATGGCATGATATTTCTCAGCCAAAACTTCTGGCTTTCATGAAGTAGGTGACTAGTGCCCAGCGGACTCTAGGTAACTTGCATAAAGGGGTTGCCAAGTCACTCCTGGTACTCCTGGCACCATAACCACTACAGTGTTATGTAGTGGTTATAGTGTCTGGAGTGTTTCTTTAAAAAAATGTGTATATATTTATATTTATATACACATATTGCATGTCTACCTCAGATAGCAGGCACTGTGCAGAAAAGGTGAATGAGAAAACGCTTATTTCCGTTAGTAAACATATACACTGAATCACAATGTGATTTTTAATGAGATCCTTCAAAAAAAACCTCTAGTTTATAAAATAAAAAGAGGGCAGGGGGCAAACATTAAATCAGCTCCACTTATTTTCACGATCAGTGCGAGCATACATGCTCTAATCTAGTATCATTTTGGACTCTTGGCTACATCTGTACAAGTGCATACACTTTTCTGTGATTTTTACCCTGTTATATCCTCTGACCAGAGACCGAGGATTGAATTGCACATTTCTCTTAAACAAGACAGGAGTAAGCAAACACTGGAACAGAACAGCGGGAAGGGGAGAGGGAGGTGTTGTAAGGGGGGTGGAGAGGGTTTGATGAAACCCTCATTCCATCATTAGTATGCCCATACCATTCCAATTATCATGAAAGGGTTGTGTATATGTGGAGAGATTGTCTCGCTGGCTTCCTGGAGAACTGGAAAACTAGCACGGGTGTAATTTCATCCATATCTCTTATGACGTTCAGCAAATATCTCCTCCTTCCCTTTCCAGATTATTTTACACCTTAAGGGAGTTTTGGTCTTTACTTCAACACTTTTGCTCTGTTCTTAAATGGGGTACAATCTAGGGGAGCTTTAAAAAAAAAAAAAGAAAGAAAGTTGAGTAGAATATACATTTGCAAATCTCTTTTGCCATCTAGCCTGTACAAGAAACCACAATATAAACTATTTATGCTGCCTTCTACTGAGCTTCAGTTTAAAGGATTACACTCCAGAAAGCCTAACACTGAATCTATGGCATTAGACATAAAGGTGGCCTTTGTTATATTAAAATAAAAAATAAAATAAAAAGTACAATATTAGCCAATAAAACTTTTGTGTTTTTTTTTTTATACAAATGCTTCAATTAAAAGTGCATTGTGGGTAATAGAGAGATGACTTTGAAGTGTTGCTACTCCAATCCAAAACCTTTACCCCTTCCAATAGTCCCACACCCCCTAATGCAAATTACAATTCTCACTGTAGCAGCACAACCATACAAGTCTCTTAAAAAGTAACAATCCAAAAAATCTGAAGTCCACAATATGTTCCAGTCAGACATTTCCCAATTCAATAACACTGCAGCGATAAGCACTAGATTGGTCCACATATTTTTTTTTGTAAATAAGTGTAGAGGTGAGGAAGGGAAGTAGAAATGAAGAGGAATGCTCAGTATCCTTTGAGTTCTGAATGGATGACTTTGCTTGCGGGATGGTGGGTACAAACAGAAGAAAGATTTATAGCTGAGGCAGTGGCAGGTAGATGTACAGTAAGTGTGGACCAGCTGGTGTAGTTTGGTGACATCACATGACTTGCGCTGCTCCCTTTCTCCATGCAAGATACCCTGTTAGCCAGAATCCTAAAAAGCATAGAACAAACAACACATTTAAAACACATTAACACAGGACATACACACTTTTATATATCCGCATCATACAGAAATCATTCTGTTCCACTGAACATTGATGGCAACCATTGTCATGTTTAAGTAGTGGCTATGATCCGAGGAGTGCCCGGTTTGACAACGTATGCGGGTCATGGTGGTCATCTGCTCTGCATCTGGTCTTCTCTAGCCAGAGAAGCATGATATTTCGGAAAGGAAGTAAATGAAATGGCTGATGCTAGATGACACTTATTGTCTGAGAGCGCACAACTAACACACTGGGTCAATAAGCAGGAACCCGCATGGTCCTGCCCTGTTCAAGTTCTCTTGCTGGAAACGAGCGGATGTGGTGCATGCAGTCTGACCAGATAAGCTGTCATGCTGTGCTAAAACGGTTTAACATTTTACTATGGGCTGGCAACAGGGCACTTCTGGTGGGCTGTAGTAGTTATGGTGCTTGGAGTGTTCCTTTAACCCCTTAAGGACCAAACTTCTGGAATAAAGGGGAATCATGACATATCACACATGTCATGTGTCCTTAAGGGGTTAAACATGTTGTTTAATGTATGTTCTGATTTACTTCCAATATATTATATATATTTCTCAATATCTTAGCAAAGTTGCTTGACTGAAATGAATACTGGTAAATATGTAAATTTTAATAAAATCAAGCATTAGCAAAGGTTACATCATTTTTTTAATAAACCAAAATCCCATGGAGAGACAAAATTATATTTACATAAACCAGGTGCAAACCATATAAACACTCCCTCAAGTGTTTCAATATCAAAATCCATATATAATATAGAATGCACACTATAACAACTACAATCGTTAAGTACAACAAGAATTTAATCAGTAGAAAAATCACAAAAACAGAAAACAATAATACACGAAGTAACAGAAATAGAGGCAAACAGTAATGCAAAAGTACTATACCAAAAATCTTTCCCTGGGGGAGTTGGTGACTTGTGTTTCTGCCTTGGAGCTTGAAAGATTTTTGGTATAGTACTTTTACATTACTGTTTGCCTCTATTTTTGTTACTTTGTCTATTATTGTTTCCTGTTTGGTATTGTGATTTTTCTACTGATTAAATTCTTGTTGTACTTAACGATTGTAGTTGTTATAGTGTGCATTCTATATTATATATGGACATCATTTTTTTAAACCATCTAGCGAACATGATAGAGAAGAACCTATAAAGTGATCAATCACAAACTTCAGCAGAATATTGTGTCAAAGAATTTTAGAAGCCATTCCTTCAATTGGAAGTGTAAACATTGTATCCCTTGTCTTATCCCCTCTGGGTTTCCAGGATTTGGTTGTTTTTTTTTTTGCATTGCTCTGCAGTGCTAAATAAAAAGAAAAACAACTAAAACACACATTTTTTGTGTGGAATTTGCCCAGCATGGAAACAACTTTCTCCACCAAGGCTCCAACCAGCCTTCCTGCATCTTGCAGACAGACTGTAATAGACACCGTAAACTGGAGCATTCAAGACTTCAAGACCTTTTGCATTCTAACAGTGAGAAAGGGTACAGGGCAAGTGTTAAATAACTCATTTTCAATGCCTGGGTTTAGCCAGGCAACTGCATTCATTCATGGAAATGTGCACTCCCAAAATACCATAAGGATTATTGTAAATACGGGATATGAGTGACCACTATAACACTATCTCTCTCTAGCCGCTCTCTGCATACTGCTCACATTTCTTTATCACACTGGGCATAGGAACATGAAGTTCTTCTACTGTGATCTTGTGTGGCAAACATACAATTCCACCTACATACATCTAGGTATACCTCTGCTAATAGCATTTAACTGAAATGATATTTCAGGGAATAGTTAAAAGAACACTGCAAGTACTATAACAACTACAGCATGCTCTGTCCCTGGCTCCACCCTCTACATTGTAAGGAGTTAAACCATTTTAGGCTGGCTTGATTGTTATCTGGGGTGCGCTCTGTGCTGCTTCCTGTCTCCACTACAGCTCTGTGAGAGCCAGAAACTCTCTTCCCTGGCCTATACCAGGTGGTACAGCCAATGGGGTCATAGAAGGCCACCTTTAATCACCTATTTCAGTAATTTGCCACTTGAATAAACTCTGTAAAGTTTCTTTGTCCTGCATGACCTTTAGTGCTTTAATGAGTGCAAGTCCACCGAATTGTTTCATGTTCTTGCCATAGTTGCATGCATTTGGTTAATTAGGTACAAGATTAATTAATTAGAGGCAGGTGCCATGGAGACCTAGGTAAGTTATTAAACCATTCTAAAATATTTATACAAATTACACTGGGATTGATCAAGGGAACTCCTGGTACCATAACAACTACAGCCAAATATAAGGTAATGACAGCGTGTGCATGGCCTAGAAGATGCCTCCAACCCTGTCCTATATGCTGTAGCATTCAATCCCTGTGACAGTCTATTACCAGATGATGGATGATTAGGACAACTTCAGATAAGGTATTGGTGGACTCCATGTCTAAATACCTCTGTACACCAGAGGTCTTGATACTGTCCCACAGTAATAGGCATTTGATGGCTTTGGCATTGTGCCACAACAATTGCATGGCTGACGCAGGATCTGAGTCCCATTGCAACTGTCGTATTTAATTGGGTTATCTGTAGAGATTGGATATGGGCTTCTCAGCATTTTCAATAATCTCCTAAATTTTTCACCGACTGTAATCCTAACTCTAACTCATTTACCTTGCAGGACATTTTTAAGCAGAGCACATCAGACTCTGTCAAAGATATTCACTAGAGTGTGAATTATTGGGAAGTCATTAAATGTCACTGTTTATTTTTTTTCAAAATAAAGAAATTGGTAGCAGACAAATCTCCAACTCAACAATAATTTCATATGGTCTACTTCGGCATACAATTTGACATTTGCTCGGAATTCCTAACAATTCACTTTAGTGAATTGTCTTGTTGGTGTACATGCTCACAAGAGATCAGGTTCCTGACTTCTGACTCATGGCATCAGTGAATTGCTTTACACCATTCTTAATCTCTAATCATTGTCAATATTATTCTGTATTTCAATGATTTATTGTCGAATTTCCCCATTCTATAATTGTACACCGCTGCAGAAAATGTTGGTGCTCTTTAAATACTGATAATGATAATATTAATAATATTAAGGGCTGCAATGTGACCCGTAAATTGTCTGTCCTAAGGGATTAATAATGTCTAGGGTACCTTTTACACCAGGATTTCAATGAAAAAAATCTGGTTATTTTATTTGCCAAAAAGAGTGTAGAATGCCCAGGTTAAAAACAATGCAGTACGATGGCAGATTTAAACATCTCTGTTCTGAAAGTATTCATTTTGTATTTAAATTATATTAATTTATTTCCTTTACATGGCTCATCTAACCGATCAAAAGCAAGAAACACTATCTTGTCAAGTCTTCTAATGAAAATTTACATCTGCAATGATAAATTAGATGGATATTCCAGAAGGATTATTGTGAGGGGACAATGCTTTGCCTTATATTGGCATTTCCGAATCGCTTTAAATAGATGTTAATTAGAAATAATGGCTTCATCATTCATGTAATGGTGAGTTGCGTTATATAGAGCTGAAATTGTTATGTAATATATAAATGCGGCTATTTTTGTGACCAGTTTTGACAATGTATTGTTGGCGATGAACGGGAACTACAGATAAATTAATGCACATTTGCCATAGACACTTTCTATGATTTAAATTCTTTTCTTCGTAACACAATTACAAAACTGCAGTTTTGGAGAGGGCTATTTTTTATGATTATGGTGGAGACCATTGGATATTCTTACATAGTTACGTAGTAATCTAGTAAGACTCAAGTCCATCAATTTAAATCTTTAAAAACCCATTCTGATCCTCGAGTATCACTGTCAATTAAGTGATATCTTCCAGTTCCCAAAGTGTCTTTTCTCAAGCAGTTTTCACTAGCAAACTGTGTGTTTACTTATATGAAAACTGCATCCTAATGACATCAATATATTCTAACAGTAACTAAATTACTGCATCCCCCCTCGCTCCACCCCAGATCTATCAGCATGGGTGTTACGTAGCTACCTCTTTATGACATCTGTTTAATTCTTGAAATTCTAGACGTGTTGATTGTATCTTTACAAAGAAAGAGGCAACCAACAAGGGGGGTGTTAAACCCCAATACAACTTAGTGAACTAGTGAACAAATATAATATTGTGTTACTCAGAGGACCTCTAAATTTGGCCACACTAGAGTTTATTATAGGTGCAAACTGGATTGTGAGCAGATTTCAGAATAAGCAGTTTAGCTGGTGCTGATTTTGTTGCCGCAGAGCTTCCCAGATGTTGTTGAACTACTCCCATAATGCTTTGCATGGCTTTGTCAAGGCATCATGGAAACTGTATTATTATTGCCATTTATAGAGCACCAACAGATTCCGTAGCGCTTTACAATATTATAAGAGAGGGGATTTAACTATAAATAGGACAATTACAAGAAAACTTACAGGATAAATAGGTCTAAGAGGAACCTGCTCAAACAAGCTTACAGACTATAGGAGGTGGGGTGTAAAACACATAAGGACAGGAAATAGCAATCAAATAAGGTGGGAATAAAGCAGAGCTGGATTTGAGAGTAGAGTGCTGCCCTTAAGACAGGTGTGTGAGGTAGAGGTTACTGTGGGAGGCCATAAGCTTTCCTTAGAAGATGGGTTTTAAGGCACTTCTTAAACTATTGAAGACTAGGGGTAAACCTGATGGTGGTAGGCAGGCTATTCTAAAGGAAAGTAGCCACCCGCGAGAAGTCCTGCAAGTGCGAGTTGGCCGTATGGGTGCGAGCAGCGGACAGGAGAAGGTCACAGTCAGAGCAGAGAGACCGAGAAGGAGCATATCTATGGATCTGTGAAGAGAGTTGGAATTGAGGAAGTGAGACATATGTATAAAGACAAGTCTTTCCAGAAGCTCTGAGGAAAAAGGGAGCAGGGATATAGGATGATAGTTAGAGAGGACAGGGACAGAAGAGATGATTTTTCAGGATAGGTACTACAGTGGCATGTTTAAGGTAAGCAGGGACAATGCCAGAAGAGAGAGAGCAGTTGAAGATGTGTGTTAAGGAAGGAACAAGACAAGGGGAGAGAGATCTGATAAGGTGAGATGGGACAGGATCAAGCGGGCAAGTGGTGGGGCAAGAGGAAAGGAGAAGCACAACCACCTCTTGTTCAGTAGCCGGAGAGCATGTCTGAAGGGTCGGAAAGGCATGATCTACGTGTGGTTGAGAAAGAAAAAGGCAGGGTGGGGAGAATTCTTTATTTAGCTGTTCAATCTTGTCAGTAAAGTAGCATGCAAAGCTATCGGCTGTAAGGTTAGTTTGAGGGGTGGCCAAAGCAGGGCGAAGAAGAGAGTTAAAGGTGTCAAAGAGTGGCGCGGGGCCTGACCGCAGAGCTGAGCGGACGCAGGATAGAGCTGCTCCGGCTTCCTGAGGCAAACTTTCCTGGTTTAAAAGCTTTACACGAACTCCAAACTAACGAAATAGACCACCAACCAGGAGCTGATGGCAAGGGCTACACGCCGACACCAAGCATGTGGCACCAACGGCAGAAGTCCTGGCACAGCGAATCAAGGCCTATCAGCATGGCCGGCGCGGGTGAGGCAAACGCTCCCCCGTCGCCATCAACGGCCAATTGTTTTAATCTGAGCCCAGGTCCACCCCCTCTTTGGACCAGCAGGGGTTATCCCAGTCCCAGGAGGGCCCCATCGGGTGTGGGGGCAACAAGCTATGCTGAGTCAACCCAGCCTCAAAATGGCGGCGACGGCCAAGAGCCACTCTCCATGAAGCAACATGCTGACATTCTAGAGAAGCTGGATGCCTTATTTGAAGTTTTCTGGCGAACGCTGGACAAAAGACAGGCACTGCCCTCTCGTACACAGATCAGAGGCAAGACAAGCCGACAACGGCACACCAGAAAATGGCGCCGAAAACAGCGTGACACCTCAACGAGACCCAATCCCGCGCGACGCCTAAACCGGGCCATCACTAAACTCCTGCACAGGTTGAAGCCAGCCTCACTCAAGCCTCCACCAAAGCCAGGCACGAAAACCACAAAGAGCCCTCTCCCATACCCACGCTGAGTGACAAAGAGACATGGAGCTCCGACATGTGGCTGGTAGAGACCGGGGCAGAAGCCCCTTCCTGAATGCTCTATATGGTTACCGGGACTTTGCCTGACTGGCATGGGCTGAATAAAGAGCAATTCATAACTTGTCAGCCACAAGGACAAGGGCTATTTATGCCTATCAACCCGTCACCACCCAGCGGTATCACCCTTATTTTTCATGTCCTTTAGCCTGGTTATAGCTCAGCTTGTTAATCCTACATAGCCTTACATAGCTTATCTTAAATGTAGGACTCAACACACCCAACTAACTAGTTCACTCGCACAACATATCTAACATGTTTGTCTAAGCTTAAACTCCTAGCCGATGGACTTACTCACTCTTGGAACAAGCATTGCATAGTTGTGTATCACCAGGTTAGGATGACTATCCTTTGTTTTAGCCTGAGCCTAGTTTGTTAGCATGTATGCTACTGTTACCTTACGTTGTAATCTCTACTACGACCTCACAATTTAACTACTAAAAGCGAGCCTAAACTACTACATAGTCCAATGTTTCTCATATAACGGTCTACCTAGATAGGCATCGCTACCAGAATAGCCTGTTTATAACATAATATAACATTTAAAAATGTGCTGATACTCTCATGCCATGAATGTACAACTACTGTGTTTATATCTTTCAATTATGACGCTGTGGCATTGAAAAAGTTTCGTCATTCCTTGCACAAAGAAAAATAAAGAATTTTTAGAAAAAAAAAGGTGTCAAAGAGACGCCTGGGATTGCGGGAGCATGAACTAATTAGAGAGGAAAAGTACGACTGTTTGGAAAGGGCAAGGGCTGTGCTGTATGAATATAATATGAATCTATAATATTGAAAGTCTGACTGGTCCAAGACTTCCTCCAGGAGCGTTCAGCACAATTATCTATGTATCTTACACGAGGCAAACAAGGCATTTGCCTTGGGCGGCACTTTGCAGGGGGCGGCAAAAAAGCCACCCCCAACACCCAGGCAGATCCCTTGTTTGTCTCGTGTTCTGGGGGGCTCAAGAGCTGGCCACTTTTGATCCCCCCCCCGCCCCCCCGAGGTGGGCGGCAGCTTCTATCGCGGCAGGCAGCGAGGGAGCATGCTCACCTAAACTCTTCCTGCTCAGCTCCCTCTCCTAATGAAGCCGGGAGACAGAATATGGCGGCTCTCGGCATCACTAAGCAGCGCACTGTCAAATCAGTGAGTGTGTATGTCAGTGAGTGTGTGTGTGTCTGTCTGTCAGTGAAAATGTGTGTTGGTTAAACAGTATGTATGCCAATGACTGTATCTTTTAGTGAGCGTATGTCAGTGAATGTATCAGTAAGAAAGTGTCTGTCAGTCAAAGTGCAGCCTTGACAGGAAATTTTAAATATGGGGAGGAAGGGAGAGGGTGCCTGAGCACCGTCCTGCCTAGGTCAGCACAAATCCGAAATACACAGCTGAGCACAATGGAAGCATCTTTGCAGGTAGTAAGCCTTGGTTGGGGGCGTGTCCTCCTCGATGTGCTTGCTTGGAGTGGGGCTGCAGTGTTCAAGGCAGCGGTGAGGGTAGTGTTATATGTGGAGATGGCCAGTGAGGGACAGGAGAGGGAAGGGATGGATAGCAGTTGTGAACCAATATCAGCTGACAACTGCTGGAGGTCAATAGAATTAGGTTCATCCTGAGTTGAGGACGGTTAGTCTGAGGTTGTTGGGTGAGGGGGTATTCGAAAGCAAATGATAAGAGGTGGTGATCAGAGAGAGGAAATGGAGTGTTGCAGATATTAGACACTGTACATGCATAAGAGAGAATGAGGTTGAGAGTATTGCCAGCTACATGGGATGGTATGTTAGAAGAGAGGAAGTAGGGCAGTCTGGGACTATGTATGTCTATATCTTTATATTTTTCATAGTATATGTCTGAATGCTTGTGCATAAATCTGGGTATATATTTCTGGCTTTATATATGTGCGTAAATCAGCACGTTTGTAATTCAATGTATTTTTAATTTTTCAGGTAACTTCAATGTTAGGTTAAATTACCAGCAATTTAATGGACAAGGCCCAGTTTAGAAGGTGAAACTTAATGTGTGCATATTGCTTATTGCTCAATCTCACCTACATGTTAGTAGCTGGTCCAGTGATAAAATAAATATTAATTTAATTTAATGTTGCACTATTCTCCGGCATTTTAATAATTATTTATAAATATGCAAATAGGCAAATCAACTGCAGCTCTTGATACCATTTTCCACCACTTTTGAAGTCAAGACATTGATAAATAGCCTATTATCCATCCAGCCCCCAGGAAGGGCATTCTGCCAATAAAATAACTGAAAAGGAACAAAGGAGGCAATTTATTTCCTTGCTGCAAAATGTCTCCAAAAACACACCAACCGATTTGTCAAAGAGAAATGTCCTGTTGTTTTCAATCTGTACGGTTGTTTGCCATGGTTATGTCGACATATGACTTGTTTTGAACAGGATACTTGGATTCGCCATCCAGTGGCTTAGCTTAGTGGATTTGCATTAGTGGCTTAGTAGATGTATTTGAATGATAAGAGTGCAAATCTATAATTGAACCTTTGTCGTAATGATAATGCACTGAGTAAATATATTTAAATTATCTTTACATTCTATTTATTTTAATTTTTAGCTTTTTATGATGTCACTTAACTAGAAATAAAAATGTAATTAAAAATGCTTTAATTTGTGTAATAAATGACACTTTTTTTCAACACATGCTTTGAATGCTGATATATTCAGGAGCAGCAAATGCTCTTTTAACTCTTAACTTTTAAACCATTAACTTATTCACTCAGGCATTTTGATGAATTCTCCCCATTTAATCTGAGCACAGTTTATAGTAATGGATGGCCAGAAGGCTAACATCACTCAAAATTGTTTAAGTTAAGTACCATCAATCAGATTATGATTACAGCTATATTAACAAATTAATTAGTTATGGGCATATAATTATTTATTAATATATACTACAGCTACACACGAGTCTAATATGAGTGACGGACTGCACCCTCTCCTGATCCCCTGGGCCTCTGGTACCACTTCTTTCTATTATGGTCAAGGGGCTCCTGGCATCGTAACCACTACAGCACTCTGTGGTGGTTATGGTGCTTGTAGTGTTATTTTTCTACTATAGTTTGTACGTTTGTGTTAACTCTTCCTTCTTGTTGCAATAGAATATTTTAATATAATTAAGTCAGTGTTAATGCAATAAATCTGTATGTTAATGTTATTAAAGGGACACTCCAGCCCCATAAGGCACTTTAACTTTCTAAAGTGCTTTATGTGTAAAGAGCATGCCCTCTGTTTGTCATTTTACAAAAAGTGCAGAATTCAATAGAAATCTTGTTACATGGTAGTACAGTGTTCCTTTTTTAGGACTGTATTTAAAAGCTAGGCTCTAAATCACAGAATCTGAGAAATCAATTGGTTCACATGCCGATTTTTTTTTTCCTATTATTTTAATAGCCTGCTGGAGTCTGCAGGAGCCACATGTGTGTGATTAAAGTACAATTTATAGAGCAAGAGATAAAAATATTTAAAGGAAGTTAACTTCTGTTTTAAAATTAAACCATTTTTGAAATGTGAGTCACAGCCAGGGGAGGCGTGGCTAAGGCTGTGTGGACAGAAGCAAAAGTTATCCTAAATGAGCAGTGAGATTGAAGCGGCATGACCTATACATCAAAACTGTTTCACTAAGCTCAAATTGTTTTGATACCTATGGTATCCCTTTAAGGAATTTAATGCGATGCATAAATGCCAAACATTTCCAAATTTTATTAACAAGACACAGAATATTCTCTATACCTAAAGGAATTAGAGAATAGTGACTAATTATTGAAGTGTCTAAAATATATTGACGGAGAGGTTTCTCTGTTTGTAAATAAATCTAAGCTGGTAATCTATAAGCATGGAGGTCTTATTGATACACATTATGCACCAGAACACTCATCACCGTAATCATATTTAAGTAAAAATCTTTTTCGAACACACCTTTTACTTATTTTGATTTCGAATACGGAGACACCTCCTTTTGAGTGGTGGCTCCAAATCCTCTGTCCCTGTGGCGAGAATTGGTGTTGGGATTATACATGGTGTCATTGCAGTCTTGTCTGCTGGTTTTGGCACAGGCTGGATAACACAGCCTGTTTTAGGCAGCATACGCAATGCATAAGCATGGTCCTCATCGGCGGGGTTGTTTAGGTTGGGATCTTGTTTGTCCCCAGTCATGAGGGTCTCTTCTGTAAGACTCTTCTTGCTGGTTTCTAACTCTAGATGGCAGTTTGAAGCACAATTATTTTCTTTAACAGACTCTAATTCATTTACAAGTGGCTCTTTATCTAGAGTAGTTTTTTTCTGCTCAAGAGGAGATTTTTCTGAGTTTTTAGAAATATCTGTGCTTTTTGTACCGTTTACAATGACATTGCAAACTGCTGCGCTGGTTTCGTGTCCTGGAGGGCTGGAGACCAGCGAAATAGGACAGGAATAGGATGAGTCACTGGATGGATATGTTTTTGTGTCCACTGGGCTACAATTGTCCCTGCAGTTACTACAGTTCTTTCTATCTGAGTTACTAAAAGCCAAGTTTACAACACTGTTGGGTTCATGTTCAAGTTTTAGTTGAGCATTGACAGTTCTGTGAATTACATTGTGAAGTCTAGATCTGTGTGCCACAGTTAAGTCTATAACTCCATCCTGTGGGGCCTGAAGTATATTGGGGATGCCAAGTTTACTGTTTTCCGGGCTTGCTGTCCTCAGTGTTAAATCCACAACTTCAGTTTTAGTGTCCTCCTGAAGTATGGGAGTCTGGTGAGAAGACTGCCCTGCACCACCTGGCGAAGAGTCTGAAGATTTAAATGATTTTTGTTTAGATTCCCTTTGAGACAAAGAGTTATCCTTTGGCTTTGCCCCAGGTGACTCACTTGATGAACTTGGAATGATATTTTCACCATTACGGGAGAAGTCATTTGGGGGTTTGGAATCAAATATATGAGGAATGGGAATAGGAATTGGTATTGGAACAGGTAGAGGGACAATTACAGGATATGGCACTAACAGGGTTGGCGGTGGCACCAATGGGGCAAGGGATGGCAATCCAAAATTGACCATCTGTGGCATATGCATAGGGCCATTTGGCATCATGCCTATAGGGGGAAAAGGAAGACTAGGTAAAGGGCCTCCAGGTGGATGTGGTGGAAGCAATCCTGGTGGATTTCCAGGCATTGTAGGTGTACTTGATGGATGAATATGAGGTGACAACATTGGTCTATGCATAGGACTAGAGGCGGGACCCATAACTCTAGGACCACCCGGGCCCATACCAGGAATCATTGGATTAGACAAAGGGCTATTAGGATTTGAGCCATGGGGTCCTCTAAGAAAAGGTGGACGTATTTGTTGTATGATTTGTTGTTCCATGAAAATGGGCAGAGGAACTGGTCCTCGGTTCGTCATAATCATGGGAGGACTCCTGGGTGGTACACCCATGGGAGGCACAATGCTGGCAGGTGGTGGTACAGGAACTGGAGGCATATTTGGATTTTCATTAATAGGAATGGATTTGGGTACAGGTGTAGGGATTTTAGAAGCAGAATTGTTGGCAGTATCAGATGGAGATGCAGCGGTAGAGGCTGATGATCCAGGACCTTGCATTTGGCCGGCTGCAGACACTGGGGAAGGAATTTTTCGTCGAGCATCTGTCAGCGATATATTCCAAGAATCTGGCGTTAGCAGCTGTACCCCTGTTCCTTCTGCTTTATTGTCAGCTGGGGGATGCAATGTGTTACATAGTCCAGCTGGGAGGTTGGCTTGTGTCTCTTTGTAAAATATGTCCATTTTATATTGATTTAGACACTTTGCACTGCAGAACTGAAGCCGTCGTTCCCCGTCTCCAAAATCCAGATATTCTTTAGTATGCCTTATGTGTTTACACCAATCACATACCTATAGGAAAAGTGAAAAAATTTGACAAGCTGAGAGAGTTCATATTTATACATGAAAGCAACTATTTAATATATAACTATAGATTCTAAATGCAACATGACAAAAAGATGATTATACAATGTTAAATACATATAAGGAGGTATATTGTACTTTTTAAATTATTAATATAACTAGCATTTATACAGAGCCAACATATTTTACAACACTTTACAATTATATAACGGGGATATTTGAAAACAAGGAATTAACATACTGAATATTAACAAGAGGTGGAGAAGTCCTTGCTCATGTGACCTTCCAATCTATAAGATCTGGAGTAATATATAATATATACCTGGGAACTCACACACACCTCTGGAATTTTCACCTAATATCACAGTTTAAGGGTGAGTGGGCAGCTTCTTTTTAGTTTATCAACTAAAGATTACTTTGCAACCAATATGCAGAACGCTTGGTGACGTAGCCGTCTTGGAAAAAGGTACACCCATCTAGACTAAACATTTTAAATTCCAATCAAAAAGGCACACTGGAGTACAAAATGCTACAAGATGCTACTAAAGAGCATATCCATGCTCTAGTAATCTCTCGCATGGATTATTGTAACTCTCTCCTAATTGGCCTTCCCAATAGCCATATTGCCCCGCTACAGTTTGTAATGAATGCTGCCGCCAGACTGATTTTCCTCTCTAGTCAGTCTTCTCACACCTCACCCCTCTGCCAGTCCTTACATTGGCTTCCTGTATCCTATAGGAGTCAATTCAAAGTGCTAACCTATACATATAAAGCACTGACCAATTCTAGCCCCTCTTATATCTCTTCACAGATCCATAGATATGCTCCTTCTTTGTCTCTCCACTCTGCCCGTGACCTTCTTCTGTCAGCTGCTCGCACCCGGACGGCCAACTCACACTTGCAGGACTTCTCGCGGGCGGCTCCCACTCTATGGAATAGCCTGCCCACCCCAATCAGACTCTCTCCCTCGCCTTCAATCCCATCTCTTTAGGAAAGCCTATGGCCTACCAGACTAACCTCTACCTCACATACCTGTCTCTTGCTCTCTCCTACAGGGCAGCACTCTACTCTCTCCTCCAGCTCTGCTTCACTCTCACCTTATTTGATTGATATTTCCTGTCCTAATGTGTTTTACACCCCACCTCCTACAGACAGTAAGCTGTTTCAGCAGGGTCCTCTCCAACCTATCGTTCCTGAAAGTTTTCTTGTAATTGACCTATTTATAGTTAAATCCCACCTCTCATGATATTGTAAAGTGCTACGGAATCTGTTGGCGCTATATAAATGGCAATAATAATGATACAAAATAAGATAGTCAAATACATCCTAAAGATAGACAATTCAATTATTCTTCTACTCGCAATAAAACCAGTATAGTTTTAGTTAAGTGCTCTTCTTACTAAAATCCTGTGGACACTAATCACTGCAAACAAATCTCAGTCTGAATTATTCACCTAACTCCAAATTGTTTTACGTTAAAATCCAAATGACAACATTTCGGTTAAAATAGATGATCTGGAAAAATTCTTCAACTCGCATAGCTTGACTATATTAGCTTAAATTCTGCCATTAGGATTTAATTCACTATAATTTGGAGTTTTGTCATGTGAGATCACTGCCTGTGATTAGCTGATCAGTGCTTTGATGAAGAAATAATTGAATACAAAAAAGCTTTACACATCCCCTAATAATCTTTAATCCCCTACCTTATAAAAACAGTCATCCCAGACTTTCAGTTCATTGCTTCTGAGAAATTATTGTGATTTCATTAACGCATTAATTTCACAACAACATCAGTTCTCACAGATGGCACAGACATGATCTACAATTCAAATCCAGATCCTGTTTGCACTGATGCGTTCCCTTCGTATGGTATTATGAACAAGAATTAATACGGGTGCTCTTGCCATTTCTATAAACAGATGTCAGCTGCTTAAAAATGGCTTTTCTGTTTTTGAAAAGATTAAAAGACATTTGTCCCTTCACCTACTAGTAATATTAGATTTTATATACTTTCTATCCCTTTTGTCCCAAACGTCATCAATGCCAGTGCAATAATATTGCCAGAATAAAGATAGTTGAATATTCTCATCATTGAAGAGATAGTAAATATAAACTACACTTTCAAAGAGCAAGGGTATGCAAAAGGTATATATCTCAAGTTATTGTAAGACTACCTCTTCCCTGATGCTTGGCCAGCCTTAAGGGGGATTTGAAACTCCCCCCCACACACACACACCCTACCCCCCAAATGAGTATTTCATAATGACAGAATCTTTATGAAATAGTCAGATCGACTGTGTTGGAATTTCACTGAAAGTCCAACCCAATAAAACGTTACACTGAGATAAAGCAGAGACCACGTGTCTCAGTATTTTTACTACGTCTGACAAGGTTTGACACTGATGGAGCAACAGCTTTCAAGCCTTGCTGTTACCCCCAGTCTTCACTAATGACGACTGTAGGGAAATTAAGCTCTTTCTATGAAGGTTCTTGAGGATCCTCTATAGACCCCAATTCTGTACTCTTGCGCATGCACGAGACTACATCGCTGACGTGGGCACCTGGCACCTGTAATGCCAGGAGCTGAAAAATAGCAGCAGGAAGAAGATGGCAGCACCCACGAGGGACAAGTCAGGTAAGTAAACCTTACCTTTGCCTGAAACCCCTGGCCACTGGACCCCAAATGGTGATGTCAACATCGAGGATTTTTGCAACTTATGCAAAGACCCCAGACCACTTTAAGATATAGAAACAAACACAGATGGAGAAATTCTCTAAAAACAGATTTTTATTGAATCAATAACATAACTGGAAAGTTAAGGCTAAAATAGTGACACTGGGACAACAGCTGGGATGGAGAATTTTTGCAACAATTTTTTTTTACATTATCCAATTTGATTTTTAATTCATTAAAATTTACTGCCTAGTGAATAAACCCCCAGTAAAGAAATACATAAAAAAAAAAAAAATCTGGATATGCATAAGGATTTAGCAAAGAGCAGATAAATGTAAGCTTTTAGATGGAGTTGAGCAATCAGAATAAATTGCTCTTTTAAACCATTATACATCTTTAGATATAATGAATCCAACACCTCCAGGTTCCATCTGCCTATCTACAACGCTTAATGCTGCACATATATTGAAGTCTGATTTACACTGTTCCACGTAATAAAAGAGAAAAACACATATTTTAAAATTTTACTATAAAATTAAACAAAAGACAACACAGAAATGGTAAGCCATTGTGTATTTTAGCTATATAAAATATCTGATAGTGGCACACATTAAATATTCTGTGTAATCATGCATTTCTTCAAATTACACACGGCAATTTTACATTTCTCAGTATGAATGAATACAATGGAAGAAAAAAAAAGTTTAGCTACTCTCATTGTAGTTCATGCTATTTATATGTTAGTGGCTTCTTGCCAGTAGAGCACTTAAAAGCTGAACGTTTTTTGCGCTCATTCAACTCATTTTTGCTCTCATTCAACTTTTTCCCTATGAAAGACATTGCATCGGCAGCAATAGCAGTCTCCTTTGATAGGAAAAATCAAATCCAATCAGGTATAAACATTGTATTCATGCTGTATATCTCAAATACCTAAATTATTTTTTTTTTGTTAAAGCAGAACTGTCACTTCCCTGGAAATTAACACCACTGAATAAAACACTAAAAATCACATATAACTTGTGTTAACAATTTAATTTATAATTCATGCGGCTACCTAAGGTGCTCAATATAATCAGGCAATTTCAGAAAGGCAATTTTTCTCCCTGAACATACAAAATGTAGAAACCTAAAAGGGAAACTATTGAAAAAAATTTGTTTTATTTTATGATCTCACAAATGTATTTATTTAGGGACAATAAAAATTAAAGGGACACTATAGTAACCAAAACAAATTCAGCTTAATGAAGTAGTTTGGGTGTATAGATCATGCATATGCAGTCTCCCTGCTCAATTGTGGCTGACTCAGCCTGCATGAAAACAAAATGGTTTCATTTTCAAACAGATGCAGCTTACTTTAAAAGTTTGTTTCTCCTGCTCTGTAAATTGAACTTTAATCACACACTAGGCTCCTGCAGTGTTTAGCAAGTTATTAACAGTGCAGGATATAAGAAATTTTAAATGAAACAGAATTTGTAATAAAGGAAGTGTAAACATTAGATGACTCTTTCCAGGAAGTGATTCGGAAGACTGTGTAGTCACATGCAGTGAGGTGTGACTAGGGCTGCAAAAACAAAGTGCTATAACTCCTGAATGGCAGAGAATTAAGCAGTGAGACTGCGGGGGCATGATTTATACACCAAAACTGCTTTATTAAGCTAAAGTTGTTTTGGTGACTATAGTGTCCAGTTTCCTTTTAAAGAAAACAAATAATGTTACATAAATCTCACACCTGGAGAAAGTTCCCAGATTCATTTAAAATTTGGGTACCAATGTAAAATGCATAACTCTGGGGGATAGGGCCTGACCGTAATACTGCATGGTCGCACCTCATGTGAGCTCTGAACCTAAACCCAGAAAAATGTTAAAATATACCTTTCTTCACGAGAAAATCAGTATTGGTGATACTGGGGATGACCAGCTACATACTGTGCCTACTTTTAAAGCTTCCCACCACAATAAGGGGGGTCTAAACCCAACTGCTGCCGCCCACCTGCTGTGGTGAACAGGGGAGAGGCGGCCGATCTCCCTGTTACTGCCAATGTCAGAGCAAGAGGACGCGATTGGCCACCCTGACCCCCCTGCCGGTGAGGGATATCTTGACAACTACTTGCTAAACCACTGGTGGAAGAAACTCTGGGCCAATATTATAGCATGTCAGGAGATGGCGAATGCACAGCTTTCCTCACCTGCCGGAAGACTGATGGTGACAACAATAGTGCGGCTAGAGGAAATCTTCTCAAACTTCTGGCTGAAGCTCAACAGCTAACAGAAGCAGAGCTTATGGAGAAAGGACAGCATGAAAGCGAGCTACAACACTCACTGCCCGACAATACGTGTCTCAAGCCAGGCCCGGCTTCACGGAACACCTCCACACACAAGCCTCAGAAGCGAAAATCCCGACCTTTCCAGCAACGTACAGGCTCCAGACAATCAACTACCCGATACTGCACACTCCGGTTGAGGAGCTCGAGGGGATTTACCCCAGTGCTCATCTCACGCCCGTGGAGGGGGTATCCACAACATCATACAGTGCCCCAAACCCTCAGGACTTGCAGTATCTACCCCAGAAGTGGAATGGAATTAGCCATCAATAGAGCCCCAGACCGTGGAACGTCTGTGACTGCTCACACACAAGCCGGGGGCTGGAGGAGAGTTCTGCTCTGGTGCCACTCCACAGTTACTCACCTGGACATTCCTGTCTACACGACAACTATACAACTCGCAGGGATTGGCTGATCATGGCACCGGAGAAGCTGCCTAAGAACCACATGGTGACAGCTGATGCTGTGTACCTCGTGACTAGTTGGGGCCTGCTCTCTTCATGGCTGTCATAATTCTCTGTCTATGTTGACCCACTGTTGTTTTTCATTGTATTCCCCTTTTATTTTTATTAACTCATATAGCTATGCCAAAAAGATACTGAGTGCAGTTCCAGTGGCCTAGCATGTTCATAATTAGCATGTAATATCACACTCATAGCCTTTGTCTTTTGTCTAGCTAGCCTGATGTGCAGCCAGCCTGTTATAATCTACATGTTTAGCCAGCTTTAAGCATTTTTACCTATCTTCCTAGAGCTTTATCGCAGATGGCTAGCCTGTGATTCTTGATTATTACTTAACCCCTAAAAATGTGCAGCTCATTGTGACATTCAGTGCTTTACTTATCAATCTGTAATCGCTCATTTTGTTTTGCAACAAATGTCTCTATCCAATTGTATAAACTCCTCTGCACGCTCAAAAGAAAGAATGTAATAAAATGCATAACTCAGAAAGGCAGATAGCCTCGAAATATATATTATTGACACCCCAAAAATATTCTGCTGCTCTAGCTACTTTACATAATAACCAAATAACCATACCACAACATTATTATAAAAGGGTGATTTTGTATTAACATACATTGCCCCCAAATCTCAAGTAAATGTAAAAATCAGCAATATTCACATGAATAATTGTAAAACAATTATTAAATATAAACACGTTTCAAAATAGTTCAGTTATTTATACATTGTAGTTGTAACACCAAGGGGTTCTCCTTGAGACCATTTAGCACCTTTATTCTTTTTTATATACGTGATCCTTACTGTGGTGCACTTCTTATATGAAAACAAAACACGCAAAGCTTCGTCATACCACGCTGCATTAACATAGTAAATTAGCCCCGGACGCAGTGGCGCAATATATACCACACAAAAGAAAGACCTCTGCTCATTCTCCATATAAAAACGTGTCTATTATAAAATCTCCAAAAATCAATAAATGGACATACGTGGAAACGCTCTAAAGGCCTTTAGTGCCACTGCATAGAATCTATGCCTTGGAACTAAAGGTCTTTGGAGCATTTTCTACGGTATGTCAAGTTATTGATTTTTGAAGATTTCATAAAAAACAAGTTTTTTTAATGGAAAATGAGCAGTAGTCTAATTATCGCTATCCCTTTCTTTTGCGCTTATATTGCTTTGTGTGATCTAGCATCTTTACGCAGAATGTGTTAGCCGTTTGGCTTGCACAGTGTACACAGTACGTTATTAAGACAATAAAATAGAAATATGATAATGCCATATTATGCATAGCAGAGACTCTCTAATATGATATACCAGCAGTACTCCAGCTAGATTAGAGTGCAGTGCAGTAAAAGTAACGTCACAGAGTATAAGAACACTGTAGGATCGATCTGAACCACAAAACGTCTAGATAAATCTTGTACTGTTTCCAAATATAGCATAAGAGACTCTTTTTATCTTACCAGAGTCAGAAATTGATTTGTATTAGTCTCCTGCCATCACTGACCTCTTTTGTTTTTTAACAGTAAATATTGTGTCAGTCAGTGGAAATGGCTCTTCAGAACAGAAACACAAAGTAGTTTAGCTGTCCGGAACACAAGGCACTCCAGGACAAAACTGCTACGAAGTACTCAATTAAGATCACAGCTAAAATGCTGTTCTTTGTTTCTGGCGCACTATTTAGGGATATCAGAAAAAGAAAGGAATAATATAATAAGATATGTTATCAAGAATAATTCTGGACAGTTTTTTTTTTTGTGGCGTAATCGCTAGGAACTGCAAGACCTCAGTCTGGTGAAATCATGTGAACTGGTGATGTGCGATGAATTTCTCATATACAGATTATACAATACGTGAAACTGAACCAAAGGATAAGACTGTTAGAAATAGCAACACACACACTCTAAATAAAAATGTTAAAAGTCACAATCTATATTAAAACAGTCTATACTGGTCTATAAGCACATTTAAAGTGCACTAATCATACAAACATGACATGGTGACATTCATAAACAATACAATATTATCCAAACCAACTGCAAATGCTAATCTATAGATGAAATGCTATTTCAAGGGTTTTTCTTATACCACTGTGCCATTAATATCATATCTTGAATATCGAGTGCATGTAAGATGCCATATTCAGCACTGGGTATTTGAATTGTTATACAAACCAAAAAATGTATTCTACTACACCAGAGGCCAATAAGGTAGATAATACATTTACCAGTCTTAAAAGCACACTCTAGGCACCATAATCACTACAGTGTGCTGTAGAGTGGTTATGACGCCAGGAGAACCTGGATGATATTTTCCAGTAGTCTGTCAAGCTGTTTAGGAACAGACTGATAACTATTTTGCCGTGTTGAGCCCCCTGCAAATTCCATTCTGATTTGATCTGTAAAAGTCAAAGTTCATAATTCCACATTATTATTCCAACTCATTCCAAGTTTATCAGTGTTCACTGATAGCTCTCAGTTAGTAAATAGTTCTTACGCCTGGTATGGTAATGCAAAAGTATGAATTTTTCTTTATCAGATCTAATCAGGCTGGAAGCAGCTCCGACACCTAAACACATCAAGGCAAGTGACACACGGTTTGACAGATTATCATCAGATGGATTGCACCCCTGGCACTATAACAACTACAGCAAGCTGTACTGGTTATGGTGCATAAAGTGTCCCTTTAAGGTTAAGTCTACAACATCTACTATTTGATTAACGGTAACCAATTATTTGAGAAACTGATCAGAGTGGTGTATGTATAATTATCATTTAAGGGTATACCTTTTTCATCATATTTTATTTCTCATTATCCGTTCTCCTTTCTTTTCCTTTCCCTTTCTCTCCTTTCCGCCTTCCTTCATTTCCTTTCCCCTTATTTCATCTCATTATATTTTAGAAACCCATATAAATGAGAATACAGGAAGAGGAAAAGGAGGGGCAAATTTGTCAAACATCCCGGGATATCCATTAACAAGCAATATGGATATACAATGGATCTCATTATATCAGTCAGACAGAAACAAAAATACAATATCCCAAACTCCTGAATGGATCTCTCTACTCTACAATATAACATCTGATAAATATATAATCAATATCAAATATGTAGTGGAAAAGAAAGAGAGACAGATAGAAAGAAAGAAAGGCTGGGGGAGGATAATGGGGGAGGGGGGGGTGGAGAGGGAGTCTGCCTATTACATATTCTACATCAAAGTTGTTTACCTTCTAGGGTCTAATCTAGTCCACTATTTCTGAGGGGTCTCTCCAGTGTAATAACCAGGACTCTCAGACCGTGAGGTAGTCCTCTCTCATCCCTTGGACTGACCAATGGATTTCCTCCATCTCCTTCATTTTCTCAACTCTCTGGACCCATTGTTCTCTGGTCGGTACAAGGGGCTTGCACCAATGTACCAGAATCAGAGCATTTGCTTTGTTTAGTATACGGTTCAGCAGTTACTGCTTGTCTTTGATATAAAGTGGAGGGCCAGCCCAACAGTATCTGGGACGGAGTTAACTGCACATATGTGGGTAAGATCTTGTGTATGTCTGCTAAAACATGCTGCCAAAATAATCTGATGTACATCAGATTAACGGTAATTTCAGCAATGTAGCGGATATTGATTTTGATAGCCCACCATATAGATGAAATATAGCTTGGAGGGAAGACGAGAGACTGGGGGGATATGATGAAAACATTTAAATACATAAAGGGAATCTACACAGTAAAGGGGGAGACTATATTTAAAAGAAGAAAAAGTACCACAGCAAGAGGGGCTAAGGTTACTTTACTGAGAGAGTAGTGGATGCATGGAATAGCCTTAAAGCTGAAGTGGTAAAGGTTAACACAGTGGGGGAGTTTAAGCATGCATGGGATAGCCATAAGTCTACCCCAGATATAAGATAAGCCAGGGATGGATGAAAGTACTTAGAAAATTGGGCAGACTAGATGAGCCTTATGGTTCTTATCTGCCGTCACATTCTATGTTTCTAAATGTTACAATTAATCTAAAACTTTGTTTGTTTTAGATTAAAGGACCACTATAGGCACCCAGACCACTTCAGCTTAATGAAGTGGTCTGGGTGCTAGGTCCATCTAGGGTTAACCCTGCCTTGTGTGAACATAGCATTTTCAGAGACACTGCTATGTTTACACTAGGGTTAATCCAGCCTCTAGTGGCTGTCTCATTGACAGCCGCTAGAGGCGCTTCCGCGCTTCTCACTGTGATTTTCACAGTGAGAAGATGCCAACATCCATAGGAAAGCATTGAGAAGCATTGAGCTCTTGCCGCGCATGCGCATTCAGCTGATGACGTCCAAAGGAGGATGAGAGTCCCCAGAGCCGAGTATGTCCGGTGCTGGAGAAAGGTAAGTGTTTAACCCCTTCCTCCCACTTCAGCCCAGCGGGAGGGGGGCCATGAGGGTGAGGGGGACCTATTAACACTATAGTGCCAGGAAACAAGTTTGTTTTCCTGGCACTATAGTGGTCCTTTAACCCCTTAAGGACCAAGCTTCTGGAATAAAAGGGAATCATGACATGTCACACATGTCATGTGTCCTTAAGGGGTTAATTAGGTTTCAGAGTTTAGCTTGTGCATGACAAGTTCACTTTCAAACTATGGTTTTAAACATAGTGTAGACTACACTAAGCTTAAAATTATGGCTGTTATATACCATTGTAAAGAAGTATCATAACAATTTCATATAGCAAGCTCTCATGCCAAGTCTATAAATATGCTTTACGATATTTAACAATGTATGAATGCAATGATTTTTTTGATAACACAAATGTATCACAAAAAGCTGTCGTACAGCTGACATAAAAATAATTGCATTAATCACCAAGAGAGTGTAGAGGGCAAGTCCTGATTATAGATAAAGTCGAGTTTTGCCTTGGGCATAACCTGGGGTTAGTACCACTCCAGCAGAGACTCATTTGCACCAAAAACTCCCATATTCTCTCGTTCACAGACAATATATATTGCACTGACAGCAGTATTGTGTCATTTAGTACCATATATACAAGGCCACAGTTGAGAGGCATTTTTCATATAAATATTTGTGATGCTATGCTGAAATAGAAATTTTGCTATTATTTTTCTCCATTAAGAGATGTACAAATAATAACATTTGTAAATTACAATAACATTTAAATTATAAAAGTAACTTGCACAGGCTAAGTTCAAAGCAAAGAGAGAGGGCCGGGTACCTAAACTGTAATTTTAGCACAATAGGTAATGTCAGGAATACATGTTTCTGACACTTTAGTGTTCCTTTAAGGCAGCACTATTTACTTTTGCCAATAATTCAGAACCCTCTCTCAATAGTCATATTTCACCAGATAAGTTGGGGGGGCCGGATCATGCACTTTTTTTTATCTTCCCCTTTATATCATTATTAGGCTATAGGAAGGGTTAAAATGGCAGCAAAACCGAACATCAGGCAAATTGAGCCATGCTTCAGGTATACAGACACAGACTCTGCAAGGAAGTATAAAGGGATACGTGTAAAAAGTCCAGTGCAGAAATAATATTTAAAATATATCTGTCCTAGAATTACAATGAGATTTACAAAAAATTAGTAAGTGTGGTTACTGCAGAGCCAAAAGTTTTTAAGCGTATAACACTAGTCGGGCATATATAGCAAAACTGCTGTGGATCTTGCAACAGAAAAATATAGACCTGAAAAACAGAAACACAATGTGCGGCTTAGTAGATCGGAAGCACTTGTGAAACTCACATTTAATGAGGCGCACAAGCAGGCGTTCTGTGTCCCTCACTCTGTCAGGATGTGTTAAGAGCTTGATAAAAAGTAATACCATTAGCATCAAGAAGGAGCAAACTCTACTACATTTTTTTTTTTTTTTGAATTCTTTATATTTGTTGTGCAGTTAATTACATGTTATCGACATACGCCACAACAGCGCGTTTGAAGATGCACCCAGGTCCGACAGTGGCATGAGAGATTGAACATTCCTATATATAAGCAAAACAAGCTTGGTTAAACAACGAAAACGTAAGCATAAGATAGGGTGATCCACGTTTAACATAGCTAGATTTTCACTTTGCTAGTGTTTGTTTGTTAGCCGCATGTTTATCATACATTTTGCTTGTCTAAAGTCTTCGGCTTTTTTTTTTTTTTTAAAGAGTGAGTTTAAACTGTGAATATGCTCAAGCAGTGTACCATCTAGTCTACTGACAATAAAAGTGATGCATGCATTCTGGTATAGAGGCCTAACTGGTTAGTCGGTAGTGCGTCAGCAGAAATAGTAGAGTCACAGAGTAAATATGCTTGGTCAGTTATGTCAGTAAGTCTGCAATGTCGATCACAGTGAGACCACAATATAATCAGGCTAGGTTAATTCTATCAATTTAAGCAGCAGTTACATTAGTGAGTCCACTAGGCTGCGCATATGGCTTTGTAGGTGCAAGAACTCTTAACTATAACAGCATTAGTCACAGTGAAAAACATTGACTTTGGGTGTAGTTTCCAGGGGTAGTGCGTTCGAGAGGTGCGTCTCAACAGTGTTGGTTAGTGCAAGTCCCCATGATTGTTCCTGTCTGTTAGCCTATGCCCACCCTGGAGGCTTGGTATGCCGACCTGTTTTGTAGGTGTCGTTTCAGTGGGTTGCTCTTGTGCATTGGGTCTGTAGGTAGGCATGTGTTTGCGTTTGAAACTCTTCTACTTTTAATATTGTTCTTTGGTTATGAACTTGAAACTTGGCATGAGAAAAATATAGCCATTTGTACCTTTTGACATAATTAGGTAATAGTTAATGTTAACCGAATATGAATCGTTATTTTTTCTAAAGAATTAAAAAAAAGAAGATTGCTATGATATGTTGTATGGGAGTAGGTGAATGCAGGTGTTATTTATATGTATGTGTACGAACCCCCTGAGACAAACTTGCTCTATTTATTTAATATTTTTTAAATGTGTAATTACATATCATTAAGATATAACTGATTCATTAAGCTAATAGAAAGACAGATGCTGTAATGTTGAATGCCCCTTTCACTCCCCCCCTCCCCCCGATCTAGATGGCCTTACTTCTTTATAATAATTTAAGCATCCTTCTAAAGAGCAATTAAGCAGGTACAGGAATTAATTAGACATGAAAGCCTTACCAGTTAGATTATTTACAGTTTGTGTAATAGCTTCAGTATACAGACATTTAATAAATCCAGGATACATCTCATAACGGATAAAATCTCCAAGGGGCAAAACAGGCTCACGTACTTGGGTGAATACTTTGTAGTTAGCAGATATAAAAACATTTCTATATCGAAAGGATTGTTGTCCAAAATTTAATCTGATTCTATGTTGTTCTGTCAGTTGTAAGTTAAAGTTAGTTAAATCTTAAAATACATCCCTGTGTGTATTGTGCTAGTCACTAACTGTGAGTTTAATCTGGGGGACATGGAGGAAGCCTTTGGGGTTAAACTGTACGAGAATGGTATAACCCCTTAAGGTGAGAGAGATCCCGGGCCAACTGGCACCATAACAACTTAACTTAGGTGAAGTTACTATCGTGCCCAAATTGTTCCTTTAATTAAGGGACACTTTAACAACCAAAACAACATTAGCGTAATGAAGTGGTTTCAGTGTATAGAACATGTCCCTGCAGTCTCACTGCTCAGTTCTTTGCCATTTGGGAGTTGAATCACTTTGTTTATGCAGCTTTAGTCACACCTCCACTGGCTGAGACTTACATTGCCACCCTATACACTTCCTGAAAAAGGAGTCTACATTTGTTTAGCTTATCTGATTGCACAGTGTGTTTAATTTATAATTTATTATGTTCTGCTCTGGTAATAGCTTGCTAGAGCTTCCTGTAGCCTCATGTGTGTGATTAAAGTTAATTAACAGAGCCAGACATGAGAACTTCCAAATTAACACATTTTTCTCTTAGATCTGATTGAAAGTGAAACCATTTTTTTTTCAACAAGGCTATGAGAGTTATAGCCAGGTGAGGTGTGAGTAGGACTGCATAAACAGAAACAAAATTGAATAAATAAAAAATTATCATTTAAGGTTCCTAAAGCCACATAGCATGTGCCAGTAGCTGGCAGGCCCCTTTCTGGCCAAGAAAAGGCCCATCAATCAGCAGAACTGCTTTAAAACTGAAAGCAGCAATAACATAGCTGCTATTAGTTTATAGAGAGCCTAGTTCACCGTTTTGTGAACCAAGCTGTGTGCTTTGACTGGTCAAGCCCCCAACCATTCAAGTGCACAGATCTATCCAGCTTTTTCTCCTACACATTTGTTATGGTACGTAGATTGACCCCTTAATCATGGGCAAGAGAACAGAACTCAGAATCTGTATGCTACAGAGCAAAAGTAAAGGAACACTATAGGACCAGGAACACAAACATGTATTCCTGACCCTCTAGTGTTAAAACCACCATCTATCCCCCCCTACATATATTGCAATCTTACTTGTATTCAAGTATTCAGCTGCTGGCTCTGCCTCTGTCTGCCTCTAACCTGTCCCAGTCTGCTGACATCATCAGAAGTGGTCGTCTGAGCCAATCACAATGCTTCCCCATAGGACTGGCTGAGACTGTCAAGGAGGCAGATCAGGGGCAGAACCAGCACAAGTCAAACACAGCCCTGGCCAATCAGCATCTCCACATAGAGATGAATTGAATCAATGCATCTCTATGTGGAAAGATAAGTGTCTGCATGTAGAGGGTGGAGATAATGAATGGCAGTGCTGCTCACTGTGCAGCACTGTCCCAGGAAGCACCTCGAGCAGCCATCTGAGGAGTGGCCAGTGTAGTTATCACTAGGCTTTAATGTAAACACGACAGTGTTTATAGCAAAAAGCCTGAAGGAAATGATTATACTCACGAGGACACCAGGACAAATGCAATAAGCTGTAGTTGTTCCGGTGACTATAGTGTCTATTTAAACAGGGCAATTATTTCCACACTTGACACAGGAACAGGAGGAAGTAAAAGGGATACTATAGGCATCAAAACAGCATTAGTCTAATGAAGCAGCTTTGGTGTATAGCTCATGCCCCTGCCTTCTCAACAAGTTAAATCATGTTTGTTTCTGTCCATGCCACCCTAGCCACACCTCCCCTGGTTCGGACTGACAGCCTGCATGATAAAAATGATTTTATTTTCTTTCAGATCTCAACTTACTTTATTCTTAACTCTGTAAATTAAACGTTAATTACAAACAGGATGCCCTGCAGATTCTATTATGCTATTAACAGAGCAGAACATAATTTATATGCCTATAGTGTCCCTTTAAAGGGAAACTCCAGTGCCAGGAAAACGCCTGATCCCGCCCGCCGGCTGAGGAAACCTAATGCGCACGCGCATTAGGTCTCCCCATAGGAAAGCATTGAAAAAGATTTTCAATGCTTTCCTATGGGGAATTGAGCGACGCTGGAGGTCCCCACACAGCGTGAGGACGTCCACTTTGCTATCAACGTGGAAGTGCCCTCTAGTGGCTGTCTAGTAGACAGCCACTAGAGGTGAAGTTAGCCCTGCAATGTAATTATTGCAGTTTATAAAAAACTGCAATAATTACAGTTGCAGGGTTAAGAGTAGTGGGAGTTGGCACACAGACCACTCCAATGAGCAGAAGTGGTCTGGGTGCCTGGAGTGTCCTTTTAAGATAGAGTTTTTTGCCTATAGTAACCCTTTAATGTGTATAAAAATAAAAAGTATGTATATTGTCAAATGAGTGAAACAGAAGACCACAACCCATTTATGTAAACTATATAGTTTTAAAGAGACAGAAAGTAACCACATCCAAAAATTATATTCTTGGTAAGGATGGGAATGCAAAATTTTAACCATGAATTTAATACCTAAAACTTAGCACTAGATACAGTCATGTTTATGAATGTGTGTTATAATATATATAATCTATTAATTCTAAGTTTTTTTTATAATTGTTTAAATTGTAATGATCTCAAATATTGAACCACTACTTTTTTATGATCATATGCAATAAATGACAAAAATATATAAAACAATAATTTTGCCACTAATATAAAATTTTAAAAAGTGAGCATTTGACACCGCGAAAGCATTTGTGACTGAATTGTGAAACAAAAACAAAGTTCTGGCAGTAATGTTATTCTTAGGATAATCTTGTAGATGCCCTTTGTTTACCCTAGCAGCTCCCTCCAAGCACATACTCTCTGAGAGGTAAAGAGGTAGTTCCCCTAGCAATTAATAAAAAACACTGCAACATTACCAGCTGAAGCCTGAAGCTAAGACAGCACTTTGTTCTTATTCACTTGAAATCTTGCCTGACAGGCCATTAGCAAAACTTGTAAGATTTTTACTGGGAAAGAACCCCTGTGGATTTAATAGATCTATGAGGAAAGATGAGTTTCAGTACAAATACCAATACTGTCAAGGTATATACATATAATTCTACCTCCCTTATCGTATCTGTCTACCTGTAATATATGTGCAGCATTTGTTATTACTCCTTCTCCCATCATGCATCATGCCCAGAGCAGTAAAATGTCATAATATATAAATATATATGTGGGAGCAGAGCATTAGGCTCTTTGAAATTAGCCCTAAATTAATAAATATATTTTAATTATTTTAAATAGAAGCAGGTCACCCTTTAAGAGACACAGAGTCAAAAATTCCTTTATTGGTACAAATAGATCAAATGAAATATATATCTAGAACGTGTTTCGCCTTGCAAGGCTTTATCAAGTAGATTGAAACAAGTAAAAAATTTCAAGCGAGGACCAAAAATATCCTAGGTGGGGAATATACCACCAGCGCCCTATTCATCGAGCAGTGAGCCTATTTTATATTCTTTGCTACAGTGAGCACTATATTTGCCATTTTTACCTTTCCGGTTTTGGAATTATCACCACTGAAAATATCTGGAGAAACCACATACCACATATATCCCAGAAGTGAGAATTATTTCACTTCACGCTATACACACCAGAACTAGATATAGCTCTGGTAAATGTGAGTAGAATATATCCTATTTATTTCCATATACATATTGCATTATTTACTGCACCATTGGAGTTCCTTTGTCTTCCCTTGTGTCTTGCATATACCTCTGGAATGACAAGAATCCCTCAAGAACGTTTTATCTCATCAAGATTGGCTGTTGCTCTTAAAGACTTTTTTATTTTTTATTTCTATTCTAGTTCACCTGTATTTAACTGGACATTTTATCTCAGATAAATACTTAATATATATCTTTTGGTATATTTTAATTTATATTGGGCGCAACCTCATTCTCTTTTTCTTGCTGCTAACTGTGGGGTATTAGGAGGGAACCCCTCTCTATACGAAGGTTTGCTGCCCTAAAACATTTTTTTTTTGTGACTTTATTCAGCGCTGACCCCTTTTTTAAATTTTTCCTAATGTAAGGACAGTTTGCAGACAGGAGACAGGACAGGAGGTATGCCGTGGGTTGCATAAACAGAAACAAAAATTATTTAACCCCTAAATGCAGTGAATCTGTTAATCAACTCTCTCTTCTCTGATCTAAAAAAAACTCTTAATATGTCTGTGAATTACAGTTTTATACTGAAATAAAATTTTTACTAAAGTAATAAATAGTGGCAGTCTGCAATAAACAGAGTCAAATTCGCTACAGTTTTACAGCAGGACAGCAAGTGTAACATCTCTCTTGGATGCATAAAATAGAAAAGAATAAAAGAATGAGTCGAAAAAAGGGTAATTACCAAAAGTTATAAAAGAAACCTGCTGTGCTGCAATTTGGAACTCAAGCTGTTGCATTTTATTCTGCAAACAGCCTATAAAAGGCACATAACACCTGGACGACTTTGATAAGTGTTAATGCACACTGATACAAATTAGGTCAGCTTAAAGAAAAAAAAATACAGTGATTAATATAGCAGGTTAGATTTTTATTACTGGCATTTAAACCTTAACGGAGACAACCTTACTTTGATAAATGCACTAGAAACAAGTAAAAGACCATAATATCATTCATAGAAAAGGTAATATTTTTTTTTTTAAAAATCTTTAGGATGTTATCATTTAAAAACTAATTCACAAATATATATATATATATATATATATATATATATATATATATATATATACACATACTGCCTTATTGAATACAGCTTCCTCTTTAGTCAAAGAATTCAGAATATGAACATCACCATCATGGTAGACTCTACCTGCGCACACGACATACCTTGTAAGGTGACCACTCATAGCCTAATACTCTAGTTTTAGACAGACTAAGAGGTCTAAAATAAGTTTCAGAGGATGCAGAGGAGGGTTAAGGACTATCTATGCTGGCAACAAAAAAACAAAAGTGAAAAGCAGGCAATGGGCCAAAACATTTCAATCTGAAGTCAGAATGAAGACAAAATACCAAATTCAGGAACAATAACTCTGTTCAATTTAGGTAACCAATTCAAATGCCGGGAGTGAATGCAACTATTAAGTGAATGCTATCAGGGTTTAAACATGCACCAAACATGATTTTACATACATGACGTCTGTGGGTATTATGTTGCAGTTACATGCATTAACACAAACACAATACATTATTAACAGATGTGTCAAAGTAGACAGGCTACAACTATAGCGGAGACAAACACCAACACATTGAGGCTTTAGCACCTCTACAATAGGGTAACATTGGAAAAACAACAGTGTGCTCCAAAGAACCTATTCATTTGATACAAACTAAATAATGACATAAATAACCCATAAAATGTAAAAAAATGAAGGCATTGCCCCAGCAGTGATTAAAAAAGAACACAAGGCAATAAAGGACTTCAATCATAAAGTCCTCACTACAATTAAATAGAAACTTTGCTGAACTCACTTTATCCTCATGCTCCTTCGGGTGAGAAACTTAGTTTTTTTGCTAACGTCAGTGATCTTAATTTCTATTAAACCATTTAACAACTCCTGGCTGCACTTCGAAATGCAATATTTCTTAGCCCACTTCATTGCTGGCCAATAAACTTATACTGCTGTCTGAACAAGTTAAAAACATGTACTGTAACAGCTATGATTCATCAGGGAAGGATAGCCAAATCGGTTTTAAACCCCATTGTTCTTATACAAAGCTGTAACTCTCCAAAATGCATTGTAGAATGTGACAGGTATTGGCTCACGCTAAGGAAACAGTAGCAGAATTTCAAACAACTGCTACAAATTTTGACATCTATGTGACTTTTTTTTTTTTCAGCGCTCCGAACAGCGTGCGATCTCTGTAGATAAAAATAAAGACATTCTGAACAAGCAGGATGGCAGACTTAAAATAACTAAATCAAATCGCTATTTGGACTGAAAAACTGCTTACATCTGTTATATGATATAAAATGTAATAATTGTGTTGTACTGTATAATTATAAATATTACAGTGAAATATGGAGTACATCATAAATCAATGGCATGAGATGACTCTTGAAGGAGAAAGATCCCTCTTTACATAACATAAACTGCAAAGTGAACACTGTCTCAAGAACATTACGCCAACATAAATCAGTCGAGCACGTATTAATTTACTGTTCATGGTTACTGTAAATCAAGTCTGACAAACTGTGCTGAAACATGCAGCCGATAAACACGGTATTAGGCATCCTTTTATTCCTAATGCCAACATTCATTCAAAGTGTCATCTGTTTTTAAGGGACACTACAAGCATTGCTGAATGGAAATGTTTTCAATTGCAGGGTTAAACCTACAGAGATATGACACCCAGACAACTTAACTGAGGTGAAGTGGTCTTGGTGCCTATAGAGTTCCATTAAGCCAAAATGTATCATTAGAGTCTGTCATACTCCCCCCACTGTTTGAAGAGAGATCATGGGATGCAATCTATGGACAACAAGTACAATGTTAGGTTACAGTTATTTATGTTGGGTGTTCTTGTTTTTATCAATTTTCGTTTCTGCGCAATTTGAAGTGTGAATATATACATATTTATTTATTTTTTAGCTATTTTAAATTGGTTGTTTTTGCATAACTTTTTATATACGGCATTAAAAAAAAGTCTTTAAAGGAACACTATAGGCCCCCAACCCACTTTATGTCAAAGAAGTGGTCTGGGTGCCATGTTTCTGTCATTTTAACCCTGCAGCTTAAAACATTGTTATGCAGGAATGACAGTGTTTACATTGCGGTGTTAAAATGACTCTAGTGGCTATCACACTGAGGAGCACTAGAGCCTTTTCTGACAAAATACCTAAGTAAAACTCAGCTATTTCAATCAGATAGTAATAGAAACCATCTGAGAGGCATTGTGCAGGTTTTTGTTGTGCATGCACACTAGACTTCTAATGCTTTCCTAATTCAATGGGAAAGGATTGGATTGGCTGAGATTATCAAGATAGATGATCTCACCCAAATAGGTGAGATTGCGCAGAGGGAGCACCTTTGAGTATGTTTGCACAAAAATCAACAAATGCAAGATATGATATCGCTGTCTTTAGGATTATTGTACTAACCATAAATGCAAAGAGACATAAACAGTTATATTCTAGTTGGCATCACTTCATAAAATACATAACAATAAAATGGCATACTACAAATTAGTATTTATGAGTCACGAGTTAACATTTTTATTTATCAATTGTAAAATCTTTTGTAGTATACAAAATATTGTGCGAGGTTTATTGCACGATTAAGACAGAGGTTGAGACTTATTTTTCTTATTTTTACAGTTGCTGCAACTAATTAACACAATAAAAATTACAGTTGTAGAACCAAGAGCTTTTTTGATCTGTGTAATTACAAATCAGCAACAGAAAACCTCAGGAGGTCTGAGGAGACAGTTCTATGTTTAATTCTAATTTTTCTGTTACAATTATTACATTTTGCCTGTTGTCTGACAAGTTTCTAAATGCTTTTCTGAATGCATATGTGTGTTATTAATATTAGTTACGGTATATATTTTTTAATGCTACAAAAATGTTTTGAAGTTGCCTAGCATACCAAATTAAATTGGTCGCATAAAAAAATTCCTTAACCTTCAGTTTAAACAGATAGGAAAAGTACTGCAGCAGGGGCACAGGGACATTAAGCAGTAGGTTAGCGTCCCCCTTTTACCTAACCAAAACTCACACAACATTATTGATAACTTGGTATTATTACTAATTGTATCTGAAGATATTTAGTAGAGTGCTAATGTATATTTCAACACTAAGGATACTTCACTGCAAATCTGACAGACTTTTTTTTTTTATACATTCAAGGTTCTGTTTTAAAGAATAATCAATGTCTGGAGTTTGCAAAATACCCTCTGAATTCCAGAGAATGTAGACCACATTTCAGCCTGTCCAGAAACAATCGAATAGCTAAAATCTGGAATTGAATAATAGAAATGCGCAACCAAATGTTCTAATACAGGATTAGCAACTGTTTGCTTGCAAATTAGGTCATGCAAACTTCCACAATGTGGTTGGATCAAAATTTCAGGCTGACTGTTGCCAGTTCTAGGGGGAGCTTTCATTGAAGGGACACTATAGGCACCCAGACCACTTCATCTCATTAAAGTGGTCTGGGTGCACTGTCCCTGTTCTCTTGGAATTGTAATTATTGCAGTTATTGAGAAGCTGCAATGATTATCGTGCGATGTTGCGCATTATTGGCTGGCAGCTGGACGTGGAAGATGGCGTGCTGTGATGGTCCCATATATTATCAGGAATATCGGTAACTTTGAAGACCAATGCCAATTATTAGAAAAATGCTCTAATAATCGAAACAATAGCCAGTCGATTCCAATTGCGTACTAAATCACTGATGCCTGGAGATACACACAGATACTCTCAAGTTCAGACAGGCGAACACACAGACACACTCATGCACAGCTGAATGACAGAAAGACATACTTATGGAAATACAAAGACACAAAGATACACCATTCACAGTCAAGCACAAACACACACACTCATGTACAGAGACACACATACAAACATGGAAATACAAAGATGCACACAGGCATGCTCATGGAAATAGACCACAGACAAATTCCTACATACATGTAGACAAATTACAGTACATGTGGCATGTCTGATTTTTTTTTTGTCCATTTCTCCTTATCCGTGATCCCCTTTGTATCTCTCCCCATCTGCCCTCCCCTGTATCTCTCCCCATTAACACCAAACGTATGTGTCTCTAAACCGCCCCCCCACTTTTGTATGTCTGCTTTCACCTATACCTCCCACAAGCCTCCCAATCATCCTCTAGCCCCTTCTTAGTTAGTTTAAAAAAAAGCCCAAGATTAGTGGACTCCCTCTAGCATGTCCTATACCTGCTATCTTTACTATCGTTTTGGCTTGTGGATGCTGAATGGAAACTAGAGAAAAGAGGAATATGGCTGTATGACATGCTGCTGCTATCTCCACACACAGCAAGCACAGTCGCTGCACGCAGAAACAACTCTGATGAAATAGTACAGCAGAAGTGCCATGTGTGTGGAGAAACATGGCATAGTGCCATTCCCTCCTCTCTCTAGTTTGCACACAGTGCCTATTAGTGACAAAAACCCCAATGAAAACAGCCAGAGAATACACCGACCAAGAGGATGCTGTTTCACCACACTGCTACTCAAGCCAGGAAGGGAAAATGTGTATTAGTTGTAGGGACTCTAAATGAATAAGCTCTCAAATTGACATACTATGTAACTGCATGCTTGCCCCGGGAACTTCTTATTAGGATAGCATATTTTTGGTCCTCCATGGCGTAGCTTGATCGCTTAGTGCTCTAGTCAGACACAGACTCACATAACACATTCTCTGTCCTATTTGTGGCCAATTCAACCCTTGTAAATGTCTATTTCTGTCTATCCTTTGTCCAGGCCTTGTCTTCTTTCCACCCCGTTACTGACCCACAAATGTTCTGCTTACCATTGTTACATACAAATGTTACATACCATTGACCCATATATTTTTTTATTAAGATAGAACTATCTGGTATTTACTTTCTAACATAGTTGCCATTATATTTATAATTACACACAGAAGTCTATATGTCTCATACAGGAGGTATATCATATAATAATGTGTACTTTGTGAGCTGCAACGTCACTGGGTGTTAAAACCCAGAAATAATAGGTTTGAAAGTAAAAGGGAAACTCTAGGCATCAGAACCACTACAGCTAAAAGTTGTTAAACTAAAATTAAGTTAAATTCAAGTTGTTATGGTGTCAGGAGGCCGCTGGCACACTCTTACCTCAAGTGTTAGGCCTTGAACGGTTTAACCGCAAAGCTGACCTCGATTTCCACCTAGACAGCATCTGGCTTCTGAAATTTCAGTTTCAGCAAGCTCAGTCAGTCAGTCAGTGACTCCCCATTCACAAAACTGACTTGGAAAGAAACATTCTTTTTTAAAGCCAGTTTTGTGAATGGAGAGTCACTGATTGGCTGACAGCATCTGAAGACTGCTTTGAGCCAACCAGCGGCACCCCTGCCTGGCGGCACTCCGCACTTCCTAAAACTGAAATTTCAGAAGCCAGATGCCATCTAGGGAAATTGAGATCATCGCTGGATGCAACTTTCAGGTAAACCATTTGAGAACAAATTAACTCCTTGAAGTAAGAGAGCGCCTGGGGACCTCCTGGCACCATAACAACTTAACTTAGATTATGGTGCCTTTTGGTGCCTAAATTGTCCCTTTAATGTAGTGGTTCTGGGGCAAATAACCTATCCCTGCAGGCTGAGAAGTTTAACCCCCTTAGTGACCAGACCGCTTTTCAATTTTCTTACCGTTTGGACCAGGGCTGTTTTTATATTTCTGCAGTGTTTGTGTTTAGCTGTAATTCTTCTCTTACTCATTTACTGTACCCACACATATTATATACCGTTTTTCTCGCCATTCAATGCTCTTTTTAATGATACCATTATTTTCATCAAATCATATAATTTACTATAAAAAAAATATAAAATATGATGAAAAAATTTAAAAAAACACACTTTTTCAAACTTTGACCCCCAAAATCAGTTACGCACCTACAACTACCAAAAAACACCAATGCTAAATAGTTTCTAAATTTTAAGTTTAGAAATACCCAGTGTTAACATGTTCTTAGCTTTTTTGGAAAGTTATAGGGCTATATGTACAAGTAGTACATTGCTGTTTCAAAATATATATTTTTAAAATGTATCAATAGTGACATTGTAACACTGTTATCTGTCATAAATCTCCGAATCACATATTTTTTTTAAAGTAGACAGCCCGGGCTATTCAGTATGGGGTATGTCCGGTCTTTTTTAGTAGCCACTTAGTCACAAACACTGGCCAAAGATTGCATTTATATTTGTTTGTGTGTTAAAAATGCAAAAAACAATTATGAACGCTAACTTTGGCCAGTGTTTGTGACTAAGTGGCTACTAAAAAAGACTGAACATATCCCATTTGCAATACCTTGGGTTGTCTTCTTTTTCAAATAGTATGCCGTCATGGGGGCAATTCTCATTGCTGGGCTACCATGCGCTCTCAAAGGCAACATAACCAATCTGGCAAATTTCAATGTGAAAAAATGAAAAATCAAGCCTTATATTTGACCCTGTAACTCTCAAAAACACTATAAAACCTGTACATGGTGGGGTACTGTTATACTCAGGAAACTTCGCTGAACACAAATATTAGTGTTTCAAAACAGTAAAACGTATCACAACGATATCATCAGTGAAAGTGTTGTTTATGTGTGACAAATGCAAAAAAACATCACTATCACTGACAATATCATCGCTGTGATATGTTTTACTGTTTAATATTTGTGTTCAGTGAAGTCTACCAAGTAAAACAATACCCCCCATGTACAGGTTTTAGGGTGTCTTGGAAAGTTATAGGGCTAAATATATGCTAGTAAATGAAATTCTCTGGACTTTCAGCCTGGGTTGTCAGGCAGGTCCCCCAAATTGCAATCAATAAAATTACTTAATTACGTAAAAATATTACATAAATATGCATGTAGAATTTAAATATATATACATATTTATTAATTTTTTATGTAAATATGTATATGGACATATGTATATTTGGTATTATTTTTATTTTTAAATATATATATATATTTATAGGTATATATATATATATATATATATAATGTCATGCTAAGGGTATTTTGATATAAATATATATATATATTAATATCAAAATACAGTTAGAACTAGAAAAGTTTCTGGGGAAATTGTGTGAAGTGTGAAGTGTTCTTGCCTCCACCAGTAGTCTACAACTGGAGTGGGCGGAGTAACTGTTATCATTTATATAGTACATTTAATTGCAACGTTGTTGCACAGTTACATTAAACCATACATTTATAAAAACATTAGCAGGTGTTCAAAAGGCCCTGTCTATGACATCACTTGCTGCTGCAGCCTGGCACAGGTCAGAGTATTTTGGCGGTTGCCATCTTCAAACGGTCGTATTTTAAAAACTATAAATCCTACAGCGAAGAGCTTTATATTGTGAGAATCATAAGACCCAGAGTATGTCTCTGAAGTATTAAAAATGAAGGCACAGTCGCAGTTTAGAAATTGTACTTCAAATTTGAGCTTTGTAGAGTGAAGTTTCAATGAATGTCAATGGACGGCGTTAGTTGCAAACAAATGATTATATTGTGAAAACTGAATAACAAAGTGGGGGGTGCAATAAATAGAATAAATAGTACAAAATATAAATACTTATTCGTAGTAGTAGTAGGAACTTAATCTGTAAAACACAAAAGTCCATACATAGTGTAAAACTGTAAATAGTAAAAGTGATAGAAGCAAAGGTATTGGGTCACTCACAATAAATAGAGCCTAAAATAGCAGGCTCTAGCTTGATTGCATGTGGAAAATCAGCTTTTCCAGGCTATTCAAGATGTCCCCACAGTCTTCCTATAGACACTGGTGCTGGATTCCAGATGTAGGAAAGATGGACCAAAAGAATTCTTCAGCTTTAAAAAGTATTTACTTCAATAAAATAACAAGATAAATAAAAATGTAAAAATATATAACATTTAAAACACAACGCGTTTCGACAATAAGTCTTTCTCAAGTGTACAGTCCTCTTCTTCCGGCATCCTTTTAAATCTGTGCTACCGGAAATTAGATTTCCCGCCGAGTTTCACTTCCGGTATGACGTCATGACGTACGTTCCGTCGCTGCGTCATGACGTGTCGGCCGTTATTGCGTCATTTCGTCATTCCTATGCGTCCATTCGGCAACCCGGAAGTGACTACAGGGCTCCATTTAGAAAACGGGCAAAAGCAATCCTAATTATAAATAACATCTTATTGCCTCATTTTAAAAAAATAATCAAACAAAATACAATTGAGAAAAATTCTCACATTAAATATACTGAACATATCATAAAGAAAATATTCAGACAGAATACAAAATATAATTTTCATATTAAAATGCATAGTCATATATATAAAATGGGAATAATAATTAATCCATTTCAAATCAAGTTAAAATCTTAGCATAATATGTAAACAATATATAGTTGCATATGTAGACAAATATATAATAAAATGAGACAAAAGGCAAAAAATAAAAGTCATAAAAACTTCTAAAAATATGGAATATACCCAAAAAGTCATATCAAAGCTGCCATCTCAAAATCCACATTGAGACCGCTGGGAGACAAGGTGTCCAAATTAAAAATCCACCTCATCTCACAGCGGCTCAACGTCGATTCAACATGACCACCTCTCCAATGGGGTTTAATATGTTGGACACCAAAAAAGCTAAGCCCTGTAGGGTCTCCTCCATGGTATTTTAGGAAATGTAGGGAAACATTATGTTTCAGAAAACCTTTTTTAATATTGTAAATATGTTCTCGTATTCTTGTTTTCAATGTCCTTGATGTCTTTCCAACATACTGTAATCCACAAGGACATACGAGAACATATATTACATTTTTCGAATGGCATGTAATAAGGGAATCGATTTTATAATGGTATGTTCCTACTCTTGATTTAAAACTCTCTAATTTCTTTGATTTATTTTTATAAGTTTTACATCCCATACAGTTACCACAATAGTGGAAACCTTTATTGTTATCCTTATAAGTGCTCAAAAAATTATTTTTAGGTTTATCCAAATAACTGGTAGTTAGAATTTGTCTAAGATTTTTTGCTCCCCTAAATACAATTTTGGGTTTATTATCAATATAGGGTAGAATATCCGTATCCTGCTGTAGTATGTGCCAATTTCTATTGATCACTCTTTTGAGGGTTTTATGTTCCTTACTGTAATTAAAAATCATTGGAATTTTGTCATCCCTTTTTTTATTCTCCCTAGATTTATATGTTAAAAGAGACTCTCTATTTATTCCTTTAACAGTCCTAATTTCTTCTTCTAATTTATTAGAATCATAGCCCCTATCTATAAACTGATCCTTAAGAGTATTGGCCTGATGTTCAAAAGAAATAAGGTCTGTACAGTTCCGTCTTATCCGGATAAATTGACCCTTGGGGACATTATCGAGCCAAGGTAAAAAATGGCAGCTATCCATGTGGATATAACTATTGACGTCCACAGGTTTAAAGAACGTACGAGTACTAATTTTCTGATCCTGTATAAATATCTCTAAATCTAGAAAGTGGATACAATCTGATTTGATTTCCTGAGTTAAATGTATATTCCACTGGTTGGAATTTAAAAATGTAATATAATCCAAAGCAGAATTCCTATCACCTTTCCAAATTAAAAAAATATTATCGATATATCTTTTGTATAGGACCAGGTTCGCATTCCAGTTATGCGATGAATATACATATCTGTCTTCCCAGTATGACATTAACAGATTCGCATAGCTGGGACATCAAGGACATTGAAAACAAGAATACGAGAACATATTTACAATATTAAAAAAGGTTTTCTGAAACATAATGTTTCCCTACATTTCCTAAAATACCATGGAGGAGACCCTACAGGGCTTAGCTTTTTTGGTGTCCAACATATTAAACCCCATTGGAGAGGTGGTCATGTTGAATCGACGTTGAGCCGCTGTGAGATGAGGTGGATTTTTAATTTGGACACCTTGTCTCCCAGCGGTCTCAATGTGGATTTTGAGATGGCAGCTTTGATATGACTTTTTGGGTATATTCCATATTTTTAGAAGTTTTTATGACTTTTATTTTTTGCCTTTTGTCTCATTTTATTATATATTTGTCTACATATGCAACTATATATTGTTTACATATTATGCTAAGATTTTAACTTGATTTGAAATGGATTAATTATTATTCCCATTTTATATATATGACTATGCATTTTAATATGAAAATTATATTTTGTATTCTGTCTGAATATTTTCTTTATGATATGTTCAGTATATTTAATGTGAGAATTTTTCTCAATTGTATTTTGTTTGATTATTTTTTTAAAATGAGGCAATAAGATGTTATTTATAATTAGGATTGCTTTTGCCCGTTTTCTAAATGGAGCCCTGTAGTCACTTCCGGGTTGCCGAATGGACGCATAGGAATGACGAAATGACGCAATAACGGCCGACACGTCATGACGCAGCGACGGAACGTACGTCATGACGTCATACCGGAAGTGAAACTCGGCGGGAAATCTAATTTCCGGTAGCACAGATTTAAAAGGATGCTGGAAGAAGAGGACTGTACACTTGAGAAAGACTTATTGTCGAAACGCGTTGTGTTTTAATGTTATTTCTACATTTTTATTTATCTGGTTATTTTATTGAAGTAAATACTTTTTAAAGCTGAAGAATTCTTTTGGTCCATCTTTCCTACATCTGGAATCCAGCACCAGTGTCTATAGGAAGACTGTGGGGACATCTTGAATAGCCTGGAAAAGCTGATTTTCCACATGCAATCAAGCTAGAGCCTGCTATTTTAGGCTCTATTTATTGTGAGTGACCCAATACCTTTGCTTCTATCACTTTTACTATTTACAGTTTTACACTATGTATAGACTTTTGTGTTTTACAGATTAAGTTCCTACTACTACTACGAATAAGTATTTATATTTTGTACTATTTATTCTATTTATTGCACCCCCCACTTTGTTATTCTGTTTTATCACGATTTGGGAGTGTCTTTGAGTGATTTTGAGACACTGGGGGTAGTTGCTATTCTGTGTACAGCGCCAATCCACCTATATTTATTTCCTTTTGGGGGAATATTTCTTGTTTGTTTACATATTGTGAAAACTATCAGGACTATGGCTTAGCCGTTGACATGTTTAGTGGCAGCAGGGATAGCTGAACGTTTTGATATAAGATTTGTGTATATAAGGTGTAGGTATATATATAATGTTTTAATTTAAATTTTATTATTTTTATATTTTTTTGATTTATTTTTAATTAATTATTAATTTTTTATAATAATATATATATACAATAAATATAGTTATTATATATATTCTATATATACATGTGTAATTTTACTATAGGTGTATTTTTATATTAATATATGTATATGTATATAAAAATACACTTAGGATGAAGTTATATATAAGATTTATATATACATATTAGATATAATATATGTATATATATCTCATATATACATATATATATATTTTTTATTTTTTTTCTTATTAACTTTCATTTTTTTATTTTAAAACTTTTTTTTTTTTACTTCTTTTCACCAGCAGAGGAACTGCCTGTCAGGCAACATTATGGACGCCTATTGCTCTTTCAGAGTGATCACATGGCCCATGGGGTCCTATTTAGCTGAGGGGGGACTGTTTGGGCTGTGGAGAAGAAGACTGATCACCGGTGAAGGAATGGCAGCAATCAGGTAAGTAGATTAGGAATACCTTGGACGTACTAGGTACGTCCGAGTTCCTGGGGGGGGGGGGTTTATTTATATATTATTTAAAAATATATATATTTTGACCCCTCAAGGCACTCAGCACACAGGCAGAGCATCGTAAACCTGCCTGATGTCTACTGATGCTCTGCCTCATAGCCGGGTACCACATGGAGCAACCCGGAAATGAGTCCAGGGGAGTGATCACCCGGCGACCTACCAGTGAGGTGGGTATTGCTGGATGCCTCGACATCGAGGCATCGTTGCAATACCCTTAGAGCGGCAGAAGCGATCACAACCGCTTCCAGCTCTCATATTTGCCACAGACGTACAGGGTACGTCAGCAGTCGTTAACCTTTTCTGAGAATAGTCACTCAGGACAGTCAGTAAAAGGGCTTCCTGGGTTCGGTCCTGCAAAGATTGCAGGACTAATGTTCAGCATCTTCACGCTTTGCATGAATGTGCTAATCGCTTCCCATAGAGATATATTGACACAATGCCTTTCTATAAAGAGATGCTGATTGGTGCAGGAATGGATATCACCTATTTCAATAAATCATCAAAAACATTTGTTTAGTTTCCTTTACCAAATACCTATAGCACATGTTTTATGTTTTAAATTTATAAAAGCAATTTATTAAACACAGTGATTTCCTTTATTTAAATAAATTAAGTTATTAAATGCATAAATTTTTAGAAAGCTAAACAATATAGATATACTTAATCTAAAATAATTCTATGACAACTTTTGCTATGGTTAGTGCTTCTTTAAATCACATGGTTATATTTGGGATGGTAATAATGATATGCATTCACTAAACTGGGAATTGTGGAGAATCGATAAATGAACTGCAAATATTAGAAAAAAATAGAGCAAAATTCCTTAAATTAACACTCTGGCACAAAAACATGTCACTGAAGTGGTCATGGTGCCTAGAACCACCGGCGCCTTTTTACCTGAAGTGTTACATAGGTTTTTAATGGTTCAACTCATAAGTGGCGTTAACCAAGTATTTGCTTGAGCAGGAATGATAGGCTGTAATCGTCAGCTGACACTTTCAGCCTATCACTGGCTAGCTTTTGCAAGTAATGCTTCATAAATATACATACACTCTCAGCCAATCAGTGCTGCTCAAGCAGCAGAAAAGAGGTTAGAGGCAAGAAGGTGATGTGGACTTTAGAAATACTACAGGCACCAAAACCACTTCATTTAAATTAAGTGGCTATGGTGCCTGTAGTATTTCTAAAACTTAATCTGTTTACCTAAAATTTGGAGTTCCCCTATCAATTCTCCATAATTTCTCACCAAGTGAATAGTCTGAAATTAATCAACATTATAATTGACAGCATATACAATGCAAATTAACTGTCTTTGTAGTACTAGTTTCAACAAATTCAAGCATTTACACTGTGCTAAAGTAACAATCTCGACTTGTTTAAATTAGTATGAAATTTTTCTTACAAGTAGCTCGCAGTTATTCTTGAAGGCAAGTCTCGGAGTTTCCTTAGCATAGTGCTGCTGGGAGAAATTTTCACCATGTCCATCTTCATCTCTAGCCTGAAGGAACATAAAATGGCCTATTTAGGGACTTCAAATAAAACAGGAATGAAACAGCTACATTCGTTCAACAACTTTAAAATAAAACATAGCGTCATACATATAATAGGTTAAATAACTAATTTAAAGAAAACCACACCATAACTATATTTGTATTATCATAGATTCATAAACTATTATTCTATATAAAAATATATATTGAGTAGAATAAGCCAGGTAGAATAACACAAAAACATAAGCAGAACATATGTTATCATACAATTATATGTGGCTATTGGGGTGCATTCTAGGTATTAAATAAATTGATCAGAATTGGTAAATCAGCACAAACGCTGCACAATTTAATAATAAAAATCTTTTTTTTTCTGTTGCATTACACGTGTTCTTTGAAGTACTTTCTAAGGTGCCACGGGTAAGTTAGAACCACTTCAGTTTTTATAAATTACTTGCATTTGATATTAAACTTTCATTTTATAATAGAGTACTTGTTGAATAAAATGGATGATATTGAGGGACTAGGAAAAATAATAATTTTTTTTTTTGCCAGTGATGTTTTCGTTTACCTAAAAAAAAAAAAATGACTGCTGACGCCTCTGGTACACAATGGATTAAATGACTTAGAGAGAGAACCACCACTAACGGGATTCATTCACAGAGTCTAGAACTGATGAGAACTAATAAGAGAATTGCACATTTTGGGCAAAATTGCAGATCTAATAAAAGCTGTGTTTGGAGAATATCCCAAGTTTTGGTCTAAATTGTGAAATTATGTTCACACTTCTCAACAATCCTCAGTTCAGTGACGACACACTAATGTTTCTCGGTCCTCCTGTGCTTTCAAATGTATTTGCCATTACTTGCTAAGTTATTTAACAAATGCAGTTTTTCCCTTGTTTGTAGCAACCATCTGAAAGCCCTGCCAGGAGAATGTGATGCTGCAATCCAAAATGATTTGTTGGGATGCACTCAAGTCCTGTATTATCAGGAAGCGCACACCATCAATGTCAACGGTGCTTCATTACCAAATCAGAGGTAAAACATTTTTTTCCGGATGATGCATTCTTTAATGCATGTTATTTTGATCTACGTTGTTAATTAAGAAAGCTACAATTTAAATGGGAATATTAAGTGGGCCCTTTAGGCTGTCTGGATGGAATGTTTAATTTCCTACAAACACTACATTGCGGCTCCCACTGATGGAGTCAGTAGATATAGTGAGAGGAGGGGTGTCAGTGACACACTCATTAAAACGTTCATTTCTCGGTGACATTTGCTCTCTGCTCTCAACTCGTCTCATACAACTGTTCTGTCTCTCTGTCTAGTTTTCTCCTCGCCTCCTAAAATTCACAGCTGAGCTGTCTCCATCCCATATGGCTCGCATATAATTATGTATATTCCATTTTTACACTGCATTAAAATGATGGTACTCTGGCACGGGGCCAACTCATTAAAAAAAAATGGAACGAAACATCCGTGAACTAGAAGGGAAAATAAATTGAAAGTATGAAATACACAGGAGACTGGCATTCAGCAAGCGGCAGGTAGTGATGTGTGCTTCCCTTTTATAAAATGTTCTGCATTTCCTAACTATGTAGACAATGGCAGATAGAAACCTATTGCTATGTGTATATTATGAAGACGCACATTATGCATTTTTCCCTTTAAAGTAGCTAAACTCCCGTGTTAAGCATGAAATGGGAAATGTACCAGTCCGTGTTTTATCACGCTTGAAATGTGCTGAATCGATATGCTATTGGTAAGCTAATATAAATCAACGCATCAAGTCCCAATGTCAGGAGTCATCAGGCACTCCTCTTCTTGATCAGAATTTGAACATGCTCTGTCATTGTCTGTAGCAAATGTTTGTACAGGTAAAGCAAGATTCAGTTGCCGCTAATTACCAAAACAACTTTATCCTAATAAAGCAGTTTTGGTGCAATTTAGGAGTTAAATCACTTTGTTTATCCAGCCCTAGTTACACCCCCTTGCATGTGACTTACACAGCCTTCCTAAACACTTCCTGTAAAGAGTTATCTAATGTTTACAGTTCCTTTATTGCAAATTCAGTTTAATTTAGAATACTTTTTTGTTTTCATGCAGGCTGTGTCAGTCACAGATAGGGGAGGTAAACAGAAACAAAAGTGATTGAACTCCTAAATGGCAGTGAATTGAGAAGTGAAACTGCAGGGCATGATCTATATACAAAAACTGCTTCATTACGCTAAAGTTGTTTTGGTATATAGTGCCCCTTTAATTCATACTGGCTCACTTGCACAGTACAACATAAATGTGGCTGTGCCAAGTTGGTTAACAGCAATACAGTACAGCTAAATTAGCCTTACCCAAGTACAGTTATTTACAATGATTAACAAGGAAGTGAATTTCCTCATTATGACATCCCAAAGCATAGGAGGTGGACTTAAGGTGATGGGAAATCCTTAAATTGTTTTCAATCTGTTTGAAAACAGTCTCATAAAAAATTAGGGGAATACATTTATTTTTAGTTTGGCTATTGATCACAAACTCTGATATGCTCTTAACCACAACTTTCTTTTTTTCTAATAGTCCACATGCAAGATTCCATGACTTGGATTCCAGTATATATCAGTACAGACTGTATGCATACCACATCTGCTGGTCACAGGGAAGTCTTTATGTTAAAATGCACAATGCTGAATTTGTCCTTGTTCCCTGCCTCCTTAGGTAGAATAGCACTTTAAATTAGCAACTCCATATTTCTTCTTCATGGGTACAATAAATAATCCTTCAGCTTCCTAACTCAAGGGATTCAATAGTGTAAGGAATACAAATCAGTATTCTTTACATTATAGTTCACTGTGGTCCACCAATTAGTGCCTCTATTGACAGGACCTCGAGGTAGTCTTAGCTCTGCAATGTAGTCATTGCAGTTTCTCAAAAATTGCAATTGTTTACATTGCAGGAGTAAGTGGGACTGGGACACTGCACCTAGACTACGTCAATGAGATGAAGTGATCTGGGTGCCTACAGCGTCCCTTTAATTCTTCTTTTTGTTATAGAGAAACAGACATGCAGAGTAGGCTTAAAAGCTACTTAGGGTTGTAAGAATATTAAATAGTTAACTTGTTTATATGTATTTTATGCTTTTATAAGGTTTATAACATGATTATTGCTGACTGAAGGGATATTGTACATAATATGCTGACTGTGACAGACTAAGGTATTTCTTCTATAGGATGTAAGACAATGCTAAATTTCAGGATGTCTTGCCCATTCCGATTTTAAGGATATTCTTTTCCAGACGTATGCAAAAGCTTATCTTTCCATTGTCAGAATAACGTAATACAAGGAAGTAATAAATCTTATAGTCTGTACTGTATTTGCATATACCATGGCTAATGTAAGCAAACTATGTATAAAAGCCAGCTCTGGAATACACTCATTTGAGAGTCTTGTAAAGCTGTTGTCCGTGTGTTATTGCTTACAAATGATCCTCCATCAACGTTGATTATGGTGACCGAGGGATCGAGAACCGAGGGGATTAGAGTCCATTACAACATTAACCCTTTCAGCTTGGTGTCTAGAAGTGGGATAGAAGTTGGATCAGCAAAACCATTTGCGGTGAGTAGCCTTTTTGTGTCTTATTTGACGCTGATTGTCTATGACCCCCTTTGGTTCAGTAAGACTGTATCCAGTAGATAGGAAAGGTGTAAGGACTCTAGTTATATTGAGACTATAAGAGGTCTCCGGTTTATTAGACATTTGGTCTAAATATATAGGGGTTCTTGGTAACCCAGGTTAGTATCTAAGATAGATACAGGTTTTTGAGACCATAAGAGGTCTCCGGTTTATTATAGGGTTTTGGTAACCCAGGTTAGTATCTAAGATAGATACAGGGTATCTCAGGTAGATACAGGTTTTTGAGACCATAAGAGGTCTCCGGTTTATTAAGTCTATAGGTGTTCTGAGCAGCATGGTTTGTAGATCTTTAAGTATAACCCAAACTTCTCTTTCTCCCGGTCACCTTTGTTTGTCTTAAGTGTTTTTTGTGGGTGATTGTTTGTCTATATTGGGGACACACTTTGGTAAGTTAGTAGTGTCCCCACTCTGAGTCAGCAGTATGGGAAATGTGAGTTCATGTCCTGAGTGACCATATATGTATGTATGTATATATGTGTATATGTATGTATATATGTGTGTGTATATGTATATGTGTATATATAAGATAGCAGTACTTTTAAACAAATGGAGGTTTTAAAAAAAATACATAGGGATTAAGGAGAGAATGCAGGTAACTTGTTTTTCTTTGGTTTTTTACCATATATTGGGGCTGATGTGTACTGTAGTCCTTGCTGCTGTCCAGTAGTGATGGGAGTGAGCGCAGGACTTATCTTTTTGCAAGATAGCAGTACTGTATATTAGAAAAGAAATGACTCATAGGTTGTACCGGATAGACCTACTTAAATCTTTTTACTTTATTCTTTCTGTTGCATAGAAGTATAAGTTTATTACTCTGTTTTATTGTAAGTTATTTCACATGGAAACTGTGTGCCTGGAATGATTGTTGCTTTAAAAATACTATAAGCCCACTACACTTATTATGAGAGTGGGATAGTGTAAATGTGTTGCATTGTTTGCATGATGAGCTCAGTATATTTTATAACTGAGACAAAAAGTCACTTCATTAGTATTTGAAAGTTAATTCCCCATATGGGATTAATTGTATAGAAACACCAATCAGCACATCTTCCCTGCCCTGTGTGTTTGTTGCAAAGGATCCATACTGTAAATATAATTTTTGTTTGAAAATAACAGAGCAACATTTACATTTTCAGCGGTCCAACACATGCTTTATTTTGCACTGTAAACTAACCTTTTTATTGCAACAGGTTCCTTTTAAATGATCCAGTGTAATAACTACTGCTTGTGTCTTCTATGTCTCACATTATGTGTTATTTTAAATTGTGGTATATAGCCTGAATCAGACATCATGGACAAAAGGTTTTTACCTGTATTACAAAGGGCTCTTGGAGACTGACCGGTCTAAAGGTTTGCCATGCCTTTAAAACATGGTATAGTATAATTTTTTTTAAGTCTCTGAGAGTTCTGAAAGATTCAGGTGAAACCATGTCTGTGTAATCTGGTCCAGATGTTTGTTCAATTTCTATAGGATTTAAGTTGATGCAGCATCATCTCAGATTAGTTAATGGAAGTTTTATACAAATAGTTGAGTTATGAGCGCGCTATATAAATGGATCCTTTCTTTAAATACAATACTATAGTAGATTAAAGTAATGAAGTTAATTAAGAAAATGTATACATAAGAATCCCTAAAATAAATCTAAACTAAAATTGGTATACCTTCCAATAATATGTTCTGAATATAACTGTTTATTCTGTGTAAATGGTGATTGTGATAATGTGTGATAAGTGTGCAGTTTAACTTGAAAGTGGTTTAATTTATATGTTGCTGTATTGTTTTAAATTATATGTGAATCAGTTTGTCACAGTCTAGTGATACTGATAAGAATGACAGCCAAATAACCTAGCAAATAACTGTTTTATTAGTTGTTGAATACTAGCGTTTTGGCCAAGAATAGTTGGAGATTTGGAGGTGTTAGTTTAAGATTGCTTTTATATTGTGTCTATCTGTGTTTCCTAGGAGGGAGACAGAGTGTGTAGTTGTGTGCCCATAAATGTGATTTCTGTATTGGCATATCTGCTGGGTACCCATTATGTGTTTCTACAAAAATATTGTTTTGTGAGATGACGTGTAATATTACATTGGATGCTGAGTATGAGTTATATGGTTTGAAATGAATTGGTGATTATGAGCTTAGTACTTCAGTAAGATGTGCTAAAATTTGGAACAAGGTGGAAGCTGAAATGTTGGGATTATGGAAGAATAAGCAGTCTATATTCACTGCTTTGGCATATAAGCAGGATGCAAAGGAAGAGATTGGTAATATGATTTTTGTAAAGAAATTTTACAAGTGTTGGAAGGATGAGGCAGGTTTGATGTCTGGAGATGATATAGATCTCTTTAAAATACAGTTATGCCTTGGTAATATGTTGCCACAGTATTCTTTGCTTGTGAAACAATTGATTTCAGACTGGGCCAATTTGGATAGCTCAGAGTTTCTTACCAAGGTTATAGAAAAGGAAAATGCAGGTTGTTTTGAATTAAGAAAAGATTTAGGAAAGTAAGGTTGCTTATTATGCTCAGGGATTGCAACATATTATGTCCAGCTACACAGGATGAGAGCAAGGATGGGATGGAGCACATAAAGCCCGTGGAAGGGGTGGTCAAAGAGGGGCAAGGGGATGGAGACAGGGAAATCAGGGTTATAGGGGCAGGGGTAACCAAGGAGGAATAGACAGGAACACTTGTTTCAACTGTGGCCAATATGGCCACTGGAGGAATGAGTGTCCACACCCCAGGAAACCCCACACACCCCAACAACCCCACAATTCTCAAAATATGCCCGGTAGGCAAGAACAACACCAGACCCACTCCCAACACCACTGGCCAGCATATCGCTTAGTTCAGGACTTTAGAGCCCTGAATAGTTTAATTGTGCCCATTTCACCCATTGTCCCTGATGTGACATCCCTCATTACAGCCATTCCACATGATGCCACTTGCTTCACTGTCATTGATTTAAGTAATGCATTTTTTCTATACCTATTGATCAAGAGACACAGCTACTTATGGTTTTTACTTTTTGAAGGCTGTCAGTTTACCTGGACACGCTTACCCAAGGCTATGTGGATTCCCCAGCTGTTTATTCGCTGGTACTCCAACATACTCTAAAAAACATGGACCACCGGTCATGGTTCCGTCCTTTTTGCAAAATGTTGATGATTTGTTGTTATGTAGCCCTAGCTATGAGGCAAGCACTGTGGATACTGTCAGCAACTGTAGGTCACAAGGTTGTTAAACACAAAATGCAATTGTGTAAATCAAAGGTTGAATACTTAGGTTTTTTTCTGGCTTTAGGCACCAGACAATTGAGTCCAAAACGTATTGAGGTCATTCAGAGGATTCCTACACCCACTACTCGGAAGGAGTTGCTCACCTTCCTCGGCATGATTAATTACTGCCACCAATGGATCCCTGAATGCTCCCATTATGACTCAATCCTAAGGGAGGCTGTACGTTCTGACAGCCCTGAAAATGTCTGCTGGTCACCAGACATGCTAGCTGCATATATTGCCCTTACAGTTGTTATTGTGCAAGCCCAGGCTTTAGGACTACCTGTGTATTGTAAACCATTTCATTTGTATGCTTGGGACAATTGTAAAACCATGGCCGCGGTCTGTGCACAAGAGCAAGGAGGCGGTATGCGTCCCATAGCATTCTTTTCCAAAGTAGTTCGAGCTCCGGTACAGGGTATGCCGGCGTGTCTCAGAGCATTGATAGCATGTGCAATGGCTGTTGAAACTGCTACTACTATCACACTAGGGCATCCTACAATACTTCATGCCAGTCACCAGGTCACTCAGCTGATAACAAATCTCACCACACAACACATGACAGCCCAGCACTTAAGTGGTTATGAGATTCTTTTTTTTAATACCCAGAATCTGTCTTTTGGATTAAACAAGGTTTAGAGAAAGATCAAAATGATCTGTTCTCTAAAGAGGGGAGAATAGGCATACTTGAAGAATAGGCATACTTGAAGCAAGCTGATTTATTTTCATCAGTCAGGCACATAGCAAGCACCATTCAATTCTTCATGAATTCATTTTATATTAGGAATCTCAGGCAGCATGTACAGTCTTTTGTAAGATCGTGTGAACGCTGCTCTTTTTACACACTTACAGATTGATTTTATTCATGTATCCAAAATTGGTAAGAAACAGCAATACTTACTGGTCATAGTTGATCAGTTTAGTAGATGGCATGAGGCCTTTGTGACATCTAGGGAGGATGCTAGTGAAGATTATTGTTACTGAAATTATTCCCAGGTATGGCTGCCCTCTGCAGATTGGCTCTGATAATGGCCCGGTTTTTGCAAGTAGGGTTGCCCAGGAACTTGCTAAATTCTTGCAAGTTACCTGGCAGTTTCATATACCCTATCATCCACAGAATACAGGGGTAGTTGAAAGGATGAATAGGACTATTAAGGAAAAGCCCAGAATTTACCCAGGAACATGGGTAAATTGGACTAGATATCTACCAGCTATTTTAGCTGAGATAAGAGTGATTCCTCACAAGGTGACTAAATTATCTCCATTTGAGATTTTGATGGGATGACCTTTTCCCACACCCTGGGCCAGGGAACTGCTTGTTATAATGTCTGGGGATTTACAGCTAATACAAGAACAATATGTACAGGAATTGTTGATAAAACCGAATGGTATGTATGACAATGTTTCTTCGCAGTTTTCCCTTACCTTCACAGGAACCTACTCATTCATACCAGCCCGGTGACAAGGTGTATATCCGTCAGTTGAACAGGACCAAGAAAGGAGGATACCCTTTTGGACCACCTGCTACTGTGATTGCTGTACCCAGAACCGCTGTCCTCACAGATTCCCACGACATCTGGATTCACGCATCCCGAGTGAAGCTGTGTCCAAAGAGGGGAACCAAGGAAGACAACACCACTCCTCGCTCGGAAACAGAAGAATTTCTCCTCAGCGAAGCATCATGGCTTTTACACCATATCGTAGATTGAGAGGATCATACGTACCTGAGACCAAGATTATGTTGTGCGCTATGCTTTCTGGAGTTGTTATACTCCCTCTGATATTGTTCCTTGAATGCCATTATGAGTACAAGTCAATGGCAAGTTCTGGAAAAAGACTCTGACATGATGAACAATTCTTCAATACCCCCAGCCCAATTAGGCCTTAGCCCCTCATCTAGCATTCGTCACACACGCCCCCTCAAGAACCTTTCTCCACCACCTTTCTATCAGCATGCAATATGCAATCATTCATTCACTGAACGCATTTGGATGAATTGGACAAATAGTAACCCTTATAAGTACCAGTTACCCATATGAAATGTGTCTACAGCTAATGAAACCGATGCATTATGTTTGTTTGAAGGTTCACAGAAAATTGTTAGATCTTATAACGCAGAAATGTGCACAGTTAAGGTTGCATATCAATGTAAACAGATAGGCCTTATTACTTTTAATAATGATTATATAACTGGTATCATTAATTGGAGAAGGGGACAAATGTTAGTCATTATGAACAACACTACAATTGAGAACTATACACTACCTTATATTTTTACACCTTATTACTGTCCTTTATCCTCTACCATATAACCAAAAGTCAACAACGACACACACACACCTATTCCGTCCACATGTATTAATACAACTGCCTTCTTACAAGCTGTACATGTGTCATTAAAAATCACTACTCCTGTTGTAACATTATGTAACACAACAAACAAAAGGCAGAAAAGGGAATGGTATGACACACTGTTAGGAGGTGCTGGAACCACTATGGGTATACTAAATAGTTATAGATATGGAGACCCTCAAGAATAAGTTAAACACAGCCAGCATGTATATAGGGACTGGTTTTCATGCTAGTGCAAATTGGGCTCCAATTGTTGTTAAATCACAGGTTATAGGATTGGATTTAGATAAATCAATGTATAATTATTTAGATAATTTAACTGTTGCAACTATGAAATTCACTACAGGTCTAAGTAACTGGAGTACTTGTGCCATCAGGTATTTATGGATACAACAACAAGGATTGGCATTAGAAAACACACTAATGATTCCTAAACTAGAGAAGATTAGAGGAATGTGTAACCTCACAGATAATGATTGGTTACTTCTAAAACCCCAATCCAGTAAATGCAATGGATGGTTAACTGGTAATGTTTCACATTTTTCATGCTCATGCTATTTAACATTATATCATACATTATCAAAGGATGTTAAATTAGCTTGTCAATTTAACACATTACCAGTACCAGTTTATGATCTTTTTGCCAAGAATTTAACCTGGTGGGCACCCACATACACAGGGGACTATATTTTTCCCAAAGATAACACACACAGGTAGCCACACATATCCTAAAAGGAGAACTCCTTAAGGTGAGTTCACAAATTCAGAATGATTTAGCCCATCATTGGTACGATGCTTCACTGGTTGGTCCCCTACTGGATCTCAGATAATGAAATCATTCTTCTATCATTTTGTTATTATAGTCCTGATTTTATTGTGTATGATTTTATATAACTGTCACCTTACTTGTACATTGAGGAAGAGAGTACAGAAATGAATCCATTTTGCAGAACAGAAACAATTAGAAATTCTCCTCTCTGCCACTGGAGGGTATCAACCCATCTTTAAACTGGGCCTTAGGAATTACCACATGGGAATCGAGGTGAAGAAATTAATGAAAGTCCCGCAGGGAGTGACTAGCACCCCTGAAAATACCATGTGGAAGTTTCTCTGTCCTGGTAAGATTTTATCGATAAGATGAGCAATTGTTTTATTGCTCAAAGAGGGGAATGTAAGAATATTAAATAGTTAACTTGTTTATATGTATTTTATGCTTTTATAAGGTTTATAACATGATTATTGCTGACTGAAGGGATATTGTACATAATATGCTGACTGTGACAGACTAAGGTATTTCTTCTATAGGATGTAAGACAATGCTAAATTTCAGGATGTCTTGCCCATTCCGATTTTAAGGATATTCTTTTCCAGACGTATGCAAAAGCTTATCTTTCCATTGTCAGAATAACGTAATACAAGGAAGTAATAAATCTTATAGTCTGTACTGTATTTGCATATACCATGGCTAATGTAAGCAAACTATGTATAAAAGCCAGCTCTGGAATACACTCATTTGAGAGTCTTGTAAAGCTGTTGTCCGTGTGTTATTGCTTACAAATGATCCTCCATCAACGTTGATTATGGTGACCGAGGGATCGAGAACCGAGGGGATTAGAGTCCATTACAACATTAACCCTTTCAAGGGTAATCATAACTAAATATGCATTGATGCTAAGGAGTAAGTCATCAATGTTCATTCTCTAGATTGAAAGCTAGAAGCTAGTGACATTGACAACAATATATATAAACTAGAAAAGCTACAATTTCTGGTGAAATTGTGTGAAGTGTTCTTGCCTCCACCAGTAGTCTACAACTGGAGTGGTTGGAGTAACTGTTATTATTTATTTATATAGCACATTTAATTGCAACGTTGTTGCACAGTTACATTAAACCATACATTTATAAAAACATTAGCAGGTGTACAAAAGGCCCTGTCTATGACATAACTTGCTGCTCCAGCCTGGCATAGGTCAGAGTATTTTGGTGGGTGCCATCTTCAAACGGTCGTATTTTAAAAACTATAAATGCTACAGTGAAGAGCTTTATATTGTGAGAATCACAAGACCCAGACCTACATTTTGATGCATAGTATGTCTCTGAAATATTAAAAATGAAGGCACAGTCGCAGTTTAGAAATTGCCCTTCAAATTTGAGCTGGCTAGTGTGGAGTTTCAATGAATGTCAATGGACGGTGTGAGTTGCAAACAAATGGTCATATTGTGAAAACTATCAGGACTATGGCTTTAGTGGCAGCAGGGATAGCCGAACATTTTGATATAAGATTTGTGTAGGTGGGCCTGAAAATAAGGGAGTGGTGGCAGTTTAGAAATCATGTCCTGATTTTTCAGCTTTTGCCAGCTCCCACACTAGTTTTGAACATTTTGCCATTCATTCCTATGGGACCAATTTCGCCACAAGTACGACAATATTCCGTGAACCATTTGGCGAAACGTTCCACAAAGTAATAGCACACCAATCGGGAACAATCCGGACGTTTCGGTATATTACTGTCTATGTAGTGTAAAAACTGTGGGAGGAGTTAGGGTGGTAAATTTGGCTATAATAAGAATAATAATAATATATATGTGAGATAACATTAAGTGGTCTTGCTATGAAAGAACACTTAATTATAATTTTATTTTTTTGGTGTCTTCTTCCAAGGAAGATGTATATTTTATTTCAACATAGAACTTTTTAATCTATATTTAGTTTGAAACTAATAGACTGAAATTCTTCTGAGGTTGTTTTTCTATGGTCATTGACTGTTTACTTTTTCTGTCTATAGCTAGGATGATATCAAATCATTAATTTCCTAATTTGTAGCTCCCATAAAGACAGTTGGCTTTTCAAACGTATGGGGTTCCATATGCTAACTATACTTCTTTAAAGAAATTCAATGAAATTGCTTATATTTAATTGGATGTGTAAATAAATATAAATAAACATGCTGTTCTTTGTCAAACAGATGCTATTGTTCAATATAATGCTTCTAAATGGAACTGAGCAAAAAATCACCTCCAATGTATCACTCTCGAGCAAAGTCAGCACAGTTACTCCTGGGAAAATGATGCACAAAAAGACATACAAATAATGTGTGCTGAAATGGCCATGAAAGTGGAGAAATAAAGAAGGTGAAGAGTAATATTAGACTCATTTTGCATCCTTGCTCCCTCACAATCAAGCTAAGGGACTCTTGTGCCGTGAATTCCATGTTTAGGCATGATGATGAAGCAGATCTCTGAGAATGTTCTGTCATGTTGCGTTGATCATACCGAGGTAGGTTGCAGGGAATTTTATCACAACTCCAGCATCCTCCATTTGTCAAATCTATATATTGAATGCATTGTGTGAGTAGGACCATTTACACAGAATGTTCTCACTGTGCAAAATAAGGGTCATTCATTAGTACTTGTCCCCCAGATAACAAGTTGCCAGAAATACTCTGATATTATATCATTTGTTCCAGGCCAGAATGTTAGCCTTTGCCGAATAAGCCATCTTTATACCCATATGTTCTTAAAGTTAAAGGTCATTCTACAGCAAATAATTCCAGTTTGTGGACAGTGTTCGCTAACTGAACTTTAATTATCAGGAGTGTAGTTTGTTTGTTTTTTGATAATTCATATGACAGCATGTATGATATTATTTATCTTGTTCTTATCTGCTCACATTTACTTATGCCCCCTGTACCTCCATCCATGCAGCTTGTGTTGAACCATTTGCAAGCAGTTTAACACAAACTGAGGCTCTGCCAGCATCTATGAATAGATTAGGGTGTAATTAAAAATAAATAAATAAATGAAGGAGGAGGCATCTGTTGTTGCTTCCCTAATTGGAAGTGGACTCCTACATTAGTCCATCAAACTTTGAACTGCACTGATAGGCTGAGACCAATGTAGTGGGATCGTCTCGCGTTCCAAAACTATTATTGCCACCCAAAGTTGAACAAGCTAATGTGAAAGTCCACTTCTGCATTTCCTCAGCATTCCACAAAAAAAAGGCTGGGCTGGACTATAAGTGCCCGGGAAGGCCCACTTTTAAAAACAGTATGTTCTTGCTCAAACAACAGAATTAGCATTTGTTGTAACTGGTTGTAAGCCTTGTTTGTAAGTCGTGTTGCGATGTTTGTGTAAGAGTTGCAGCCTGTGTGACTGGTATGGCATTTTAAGATGCAGATTGTAGAGAGCACTTTAGCGTATATGCATAATTCTCATAATCGCTTCAACGTTACCTGAGCTGCAGAAAAAGAATTAGATGTTAAGCATCAGCAAAGATTCCTTGTTTTTGTCAAATTGCTTTAAGATTGCGGAGACAGCACCCACAAACTCATTGCACAATATCAAGTACAATAGGCTGTTGCAATTTTGTTGCTTAGAGTGCCCCTTTAACAATATATTTCTGCTGGCTCACTGTTAACTAGCAATGTTGTGAGATATTTAAAATTCCAATAATGCTTTAGTCTTCCCTTAAAAGTTGAAATTTTCATATGATTATCACATTTTGGGGCCATGGAGGGAATATGATGAATTAGAAAGCAGGAACGAAGTGAAGGTGTGGGAAGTGAGCAGAGATGATGAAAGTAGAGAGGACGCATAATGGATCATTTTCATTGCTGGAGATAAATTATTACCCACATTTCTCACAATTACTCTGTACGCTACTCAAGGATCTCACACTCGTTACCTAGAGATTGCCTCTTTGGCTTTGTAATGCATTTTTCAACCAGCTAGTGAACAGTCACTGAGTGTGAAAGTGTTAATCCCACAAAATGACAACTCACTTTTTTCCAAAATGTTTCCTCAGTTAAAATGTTCGCATCCAGTAGCCTACACCTATAACGCACTAAGTTATTTAACCCTTACAGCCCCAGCACCTGACTTAAAATTATTTTTATGTTCAGTGACAGCCACTGATTAGAGTAATACCTGATATATTTATTTTTTGTGAAATTGTCACAACATTGATTTAAACCTGTACAATTAATTTGTGATATAAGCCTGAAATGTACAAATTAGTTCCTGTCACCACTGAATGAAACACTGGCCTGAGGTTCACACATTACAACAATTATAATAAAATGTAGAATCATAGTTGGGACCAGTGTTCAATCTAAGTCACAGTACAAGTTCGATGTTTCTGCATCTTCAATCAGTTAAAGGGACACTAACGCACTTCGGGTTGTTACAACAATTGCAGATTTCAATAGAAACTGGCATTCTTATAGACCTTGTTACACCTCCTGGCTGTCATTTAGACAGCCAATCCTGTTACTTCCTGATTGTTTGGCTCAGTGGAGGGGAAACTCAAGAGGCAGCTCAAAGCACCTTCCTGAAGCATCTGCCTTGCAAAGACTTCTCAATGATCTGCATTGGAAAGTTTGTGATTAGACCGCAACAAAAAGTCTGGACTGCACTGTTTAACAGGAGCTTCTCTGCCGGAGTTGCTTGGATCCCATATTACAACCCTACCTAAACCTGGAAAGACACCCACCCAGTCTTCCAATTTCAGACCCATCTCTCTGGTAAATAGCAACACTAAATTGTATGTTAAGTTGTTTGCCAACAGACTATCTGAATTCTGAATTCTATAATAAACAACGACCAATCAGGGTTCATTCGCACCAATGCTCGGAAAACTCAGTGGAAACTGCTTATCATTCTGTCTCACCTAAAGAGAGCTAACAGTGAAGGTTTTAGGAGCCTGGACATATATGACCCATGCTTTGGACAAATTTGGCTTCCCACAATAGCTAATGTCAGGGTAATGGCTTGATATAAATATCCAACTGCCAATGTCCTCAATGCTTTTTTTTATCAGTCTCATTAAACATATCAAATAGTACCCATCAAGGCTGCCCTTTATCCCCTCTCCTTTTCATACTGTCATATGAACCAATAGCACAGTCACTCAGACATCACACAGATATCTCGGGCATTGACATTGACAATAAAGACTACGTTGTTTGCAAACATGCAAACAACATGATACTTATGTTCAGTGACCTGTCCAAATCTCACCGGTGGTCTTGTCGAACCTGTCTCAGTCTGGTCAGTTGTCATATTGTAAGCTTACTCAGACAAAGCATCAAGCCATGTTGATGAATTCCTGTCAGTCATTGGTGATAGACCTCAAAAGTAGGCATAACTGAATGGAGAGCCTCATATATCACATACCTAGGAATTAACCTAACGAGATCAGTGCATACTGTATTCAAACATAACCACATACCACTTCTGCAGTAGTATAAGAGGGAACTATCCTGATTGAACCATATTTTCATATCTTGGGCTGGCAGAATAAACACAATAACAATGTATTTTATATGTTTTCTGTTTGCTACCCAGATCCCTGACTCCAGCATACTGCAAAAACATACAATTTGTTTATTAACACATTTTATTTGTGAACACTGGAAGGCCAGATTTCACCCAATGTTAATTCAAAAATCTTTTTCAAAGGATGGGATGGAGGGAGCTACCAAATATCCTTCTGTACTATAAAGCGGTGGTATTACAGGCGGTATTAGTTCTACATGCCCATAAGGCAGCCCTTCAATGAGTTAATATGGAACTGGCTGAACTACCCCTGGCTATCAGTACAGAGGCGGATAGATGAAGGTATCACTAATGTGGCCCAATTGTTTTCGCAGAGTAAACTGCAACCATTCCCACACCTACAGGAGGCCTTCAAGTTATTTCCCAGTCATATTTTCCCCTATTTGACACTTAAAAATTTCCTCAAGTCCCACATTATAATGTGGAAATTCATCCTTTTAAATGTTCCTTGACAGATGCTGGAGGTCCCCATTGAAAGCCAACGCACTGTCAGTATGTTCTACAGTTCTAGAGCAGACTTTGTCCACTCGTAAATATGCATTTCAAAAGAAATAGGAGGAGGAGTGTGGATTACAACTCTCGGACAGGAAGTGGGAGCAGTTACTAAATGCTCTCAAAGGGGTAACAACATGTTAGTACCGCATAGAGACCCACCTTAAGCTAGTATATCAGTGATACACAGCTACCTCTTGACTTCATAAAATATATTCTTCTGCTTCCACCTGTGTTTGAGATGTGGCGATCAGGAAGGACCCATCTTACACATTTGCTAGTTCTGCCAAAAAGATACAGCTGTTTTGGAGTGAGGCAGCCTCACTACTAAGGGGTTTGTCAGTCCTGGACTTACCCTTTGAACCCTGCAGTTATAGGTTGCTATTGACCACAAATGATGCTCTCTGACCCAGTAGAATTTTGTCTACTCATGTTCCACTTGCAGCATGCCACCTCATAGCTTTACGATGGAAGGCAAATACACCCCCTTCTTTCCAGAGTTTGTTGGAAATGATTAAATGTAACTATTTGTACAAACACAAGTGCAATGAAAATGTTTCCCAGGGGAAAAAAAAATTGACAGTATGTGGCAATCTTGGCTAAAATATGTATCAGACACGACACATAACGCAGCAAAATAATGATCTACTGGACATCTGATGCAGTGTGTCGAGTTGGATTATTCATGATGTAGGAAGCCTCCCCTTGGGGCTGATGTAGTATAATCCTTTTTTAAATGCTAATCTTATTGTGTTATAGTTTTGCTTCTGTTTCCTTTTCTCTGTTATATTTATATTTGTGCTTTTTAACAATGCATTCTACGTTCTGTATAATTTGCAATCAACACGTCGTAATATATGTATATTCTGTAAAACGCTAATACACTAAATATGACAAGAATTATTTTTTTAAATTCTTGGCTGGGAAAAAAGAGGAGGGCTTACAAAGGCTTCAGTCAAGAACTGCTGCTTTTAATAGCTATACCCCAATGATAAAAATAATAATGAAATGCATTTATGTTTTTGTTGGGGTATATCAACTAAACGGTGATTTAAAAAAAAACATTTGGAAGGTCCTCCTGTGCACAATGAGAAAGCATCATTTACAAAATGAAATAATATTTTTGAATATGTTATAGTTACATCAGTTGTTAAAGAAAATAATCTGATCACAAATCATAATGTACAATAATATATTATACCCTAGCAGTGATTTAAGAAATGAAGTTCATGCCCAAGGTTTCTATTGTTTATTGATATGCTAACCACATACATACATCAACCATACACTCATATCCTTTAGCATCAGCTGATGCAATTGCTCTGGAACTCCAGCCATTGCAAGCTAAGCCTTGCAAGCTGAGCTATGGTTCATACTAGTTTGGATGTTAAATGTAACTTATCACATCCATCAGTGACCACTTTAACTCTACCTAGCATCAGTGTCTATATTTAGAAAACAATAACCTAATGAATAGAACAATGCATCCCCCTAAGACTTATTTATGAAATGGTTGACGGCTCAAAATCCCAAGCTTCTATTTATCAAGAAAAAAATATCTTTTGGTTTGTATCTGCTGCCAAGCCTTATCGCATTTACCTTGAAACAATCAATATCCAATTAAAAAGCACACATGTAATTGATGGAAGGGATAACTAGATGGTGCATATGATGAACTTTATTAATAGGTACCCGTGCTGAGCATGCACACATCTAATCTATGATCAGGAATGACTGCAGTCTGTTGAAGAAAGGCCCACCGTAGACTTTAAATCGGAAATCACTGTTAGTGCTGGCAGGGGCACTTGATAGGGAATTACATTACCAACGCAAGATGCAAGATTCAAAGCCACAAAAAGAAAGGCTTTCACTCAAAGTTCATAAAGCCCTAAAATTATTCTGTAATACTATTGGATGCAAATAGATACAGCTAAAAACAGGTTCAAACTATTCACAGGTACAGGTACATCTATATTGTACTTACAATGTTGTAAAAATATAAACTTTAAATTTAGCTCACAGATGCCCATCATGTGTATGGTGCTCTTGTTCATATTCTGGAAGTCTTCTTTTATGCTGAATTTATAATTTCCTGTGATGTGAAATCGAGTAACTGTAAATCCACTAAAAATTGATTATTTTGTTACTGTTATGTTTAATTTCTTTTTCATGTTTTGTCATTAACGCTCTTTTATTAATAAAAACTAGTGATGTCGCGAACCGTTCGCGAACTTGCCAAAGCTGCCTTCAACATGGATGCTGTCCAGGAAGTAGGAGGGTCTTGGAGGGAAGGTCTGCCGGAGATTGGCAGGGATGTGTCAGCTGACCGGAGTTCGCCACGAACCGTTCGCGGCAAGTTCGCGAACGGTTCGCGACATCACTAATAAAAACAAAACACTTTTTAAAACTAGGATACAAAAAATATAAAACTTTTTGTACGCAAAAACATGTGTCCTTTGGAATTGTAATATTTACTGCTTAAATGCATGAACTGGGTTAAACCACTACATTCACTGAGGCACTATTAAAGTGCTACTGTTACCTGAATATGGTGTCCCATTGATTAATTTAAAATAGATCAATATTGTTTTCATATACGAAAGCTAGATAAACTTTAGCTGCAATTACAACTTGAAGTTCTGCCATTTATTCTGGTGGAGGTGGCCATCTTGGAATTGCATCTTAGAGACTGATTAGAAAAAAATCAAGGCTGTAGATAATATGTGATGTCAGCAGCCAATCAAAACCTGTAATTTTGCAGAGCAGCACACAGCTTTATAATGTACAAGAAACAGACAATTGTTTTTGGAATACTCTTTTGATGAACCGTTCTCCAACTGACCACGGTTTGCTTACAATCTTTTGTTTGATTTTTAAAAAAAATGTTTAATGAAAACTGCTGAATAGATTTTCAAAATATTCTGCATCAAGGCATATATACACACATAGTATATAACAGAGCCCTTTTAAAGTTTTTGAATTCTCGGTCAAACCCAACATTCTGGAACTGTTGTTCAGCATGCTCCCAGCACATAATTTATTACCCTGCCCTTGGCATTTATGGCAACGTAGCCGCTCAATAAATTGCAGAATGATCTCAGTATGTGGGGAAAGGCTCTGCATTACTTGGCTGTACATACAATCACTGTGTTATCGCTGGGCACAGCTGTACGCTGAATACATTTGGAATGAAAAACATACTTAGCTGCCACACATCAAATTAAAACGGTACCATTCAATGGTGTGGATGCATGTTAGCAAATAATGATTATATGGTTTGCGGTACGTATTTCCATTAAATAAGTAGGCTTTCATTCCAAGCATGCTTTAAGAAACAAAAAGCTTTTAAATAGGGTTTTAGTATATCACTTTTTAATGTTTTGCATCAATATTACTGCCACTGCTTTCTATTTTACTAGTTGGTGTGAAGCATGGCAGGAACATTCATTTACTGGGGTATCAATAGATGTCACTGTCAATGTGCTAAACCAATCAACAAAGAAAGACTCCAATATCTCTCAGTTTGTCTGTCTGCCTGCCTGTTAATTTTCTATCTGTACAAAAATGATCAGTATTTTTGATTTTTTTTCTTTAAATTGCCATCTTTATTGGTTTATTTTAAGACATTCACATTAGCCCTTTGTATGAGAGGAAACCAGAGTTGGTCTCTCATTAGGTTACATCTCGCTTAAAAAATACTTTGACAGAGAATCAAGCAGCAGCCAAACATGTTAAGACTTAACATTCTAAGACCTTCTACGTTTAAAACAACTGAAACCGGCATTGGAACTGGAAGTGTCATCAGCTCAGTCTTAGGAAGCCATCTTGGATTTTCATAGAATTACTTGCATGCAGGATATCTAGCAATTTATTTTCTACATGTAATTTTTGGTGGGGCATAAAGGATAACGTAGGTGAAATGATCAGTATTTTTACTGTCAAAATCTACCATTGCATCCATTAAAGGTTGGATATTATTTCTGCAAAAACTGGTAAATAATAGAACATTGAATCTAAGAACCAATAAACCATGTATGAAGACTATTACTTTGACTATTTAGGTCAGGTATTTAGAGTTAACCAAGTGCAGCTGATGTGTGTTTCTGATTATTTAAAGATTTTCTGAATATTGTCACTACACTCTAAAATTATTTAGTGAATATAATTCTGGGTCCTTATTACTGGCTATGTTGTCCAATGCATGCGCATTCGGCGGATGATGTCGGAAGAGGGAGGAAAGTCCCCAGCGCCGAGGGAGCCCAGCGCTGGAGAAAAGTAAGAATTTAACCTCTTCCTCCCAATAGAGCCCAGCGGGAGGGGGATCCAACGACCCTATAGAGCCAGGAAAACGAGTTTGTTTTCCTAGCACTATAGTGGTCCTTTAATTTTCTCTCCATTATCCATTATTCCCATCTCATCCTTGGATGTTTTTTCCTATAGTTGTTGGTTGTTAAACAATTTATTCTTCTGTATCACTTTCAATATTAAACAAGAGAACTTAATAAAATTCACAGTAGAAAAATAATGCTTATACAACCCTAAATATTAATTGTGTCTGAAAGAAAATGTTAGTTTTAAATACAGAATTTTGGAATAAGAATACTATTTAGTTTGAGATAATAAGAAACATCCTCTCATACATATCTAAACACATCAAATGCCTTAAAGACAGAGGCAATTATCAAGGTTACGAACCAAAACAAAACCTTGAATTTGAGCTATAGGTTTGTTCCACTATAATTTAATTGTTTCTCTTAAGGTGCCCCATACATATTTATATATCATTTTTAAAGGACAGAAAGGGTTTTCATTTAACATGTTATATGCATACCTAACACATAATGTGTGAATAAAATATATATTTTTTTATATTTTAAATGTATAATTTTTACACATCTAGTGCAACTATTTAAAAATAACACAAAATTGATTCATATATCAGTCCTTATTTTTAAATGCCTATTATATTTAGGATTTAATTTAATTTTTGATAGTCAACAGTAACCCTATACCAACCCCCACACTAATGCTATACCAGCCATACCCTTTACCCAATGCTTACATTAATTCCAACTACATGCCTACCCTAATCTTACCCTTAACCTCAACCCTACACTACCTTTAACCCTAAAATGGCCTTAATACAAACTCAGCCTTAACCCTAACCCAACTCTAACCCTAACCCTCAAGCTAATACTAACCCTACCCAACCCTTACTCCTATATCTAACTCTAACCCTATTGCTACCACTAGTCCCAACCTTAACCCTAAGGTAATCCACTGCCTATATCAATTCTGATATTGGAAGTGGGGTTTTACAGTATTTAACACAGTAGGTGGTGGTATGTTGACACCATCGACTGGCCGAGATCAGAATTACACATACTATAATTCTGAATAGAGCCCTGGTCCCAGCCCCAAAAGCTAGGTCTCCCTAAAGCTGCCTGCACTCACAACAACCTCGGCTGAGTGTGATCATTTAGTGACTTCCAGCATTGCACAGTACTTATCGGTCAGTCTGTGGCAACTAAAAATGGCCCCAGCTGAATTACAAGAGCACCGGGTATCCATTGATATATGGGGTTAGTGGTGTGAGCTGAACCCTGCTCACACCACAATGTTTTGATAGGCATTTAAATGCCTATTTAAAGAGATTTTTTTTAAATGGCCCCAGCAGACAAAGGGGAGCCCCAAGTGTCCATTGATACCACTCGTCCTTCTCAGTCGAAGCAAGGAAGCATACTGCAAGCACTGGAACATACTTTCATATACCCCTATGTGTAATCTAGTGTATTGCCAGGAGGGAAGAGAAAATATAAATTAAAACATGGCTATGCCCAGGTATGGGTATTTATGGTTACGTCAATATAATAATATATTCATGCTAAGGTAACACTATACTTAAGGTCATAAGAGGCTTACAACACGCACCGACACAGATTGCCCTCAGCAGAGCACCAGGACCCCATACATTACCTGGATAAAAGAATGGGAAGTGCTGGGCAGGCTTCTGTTTTTGCTGCGCTGTCCTGGTATCTCCTGGTCAACAGATGCGGCTAGGCATGGCATTTATAATAACAAAGAACTACCCACATGTAAATAAGTTGTACTAGGTTAGTACATGAAGTTGTACCTTTCTACAAACTTCTCTTTATCCTTCTTTCTTAGTTGCATGTGTTTTAAAGCAATAACATAATAGTATCAAAGGACAAGTGTACAAAACACCCACTTGACAACAGATACAGCCTCTAGGAATTGTAAATATGTCATGCTGATATATATGAAACAGAAGAAAAGGAACCGCACTCAAATCTACTGAAAACCGGGGGCACCGAAGCCAGACCAGCAAATCCAAAACACGTATAAAAAAACAGGCACTCACGAAATTAAAGCCACAGGCAGATTTATTGGTATTTATCAAACTGACCTATTAATAGGTCGAAACATTACTTTGTCTTCTTGATCCAATAAATCTGCCTGTGGCTTTAATTCCTTTAGTGCCCGAAGATTTTCTTTTGTTTTATTATGCTGATATATATGGATATCAGGAGATATTCAGATTTCATGGTGTTTACATGGTATGAACTTGGTCGCACTCATGCTTACTATATGCTTACTGCATGTATACATGATATTAATGCATTCTTACATTTGTCCCTATGTATTAATATTAATGTCAACTGTGCAATGATCAAATCATTGTTGCAAGAATTGTTTAAATACTTGTGAAAATAAATAAAAAATGTCAAATTGAAAAAAAAAAAAAAAAACACGGTTATGCAACTTTACCATTTGACCATCAGACAAGAGGGATTTGCAGGGCAAGGGTGCCTCGGACTCAGGAGTCCAGTTGATTCCCACACTCAGGACTTTTTATTTAGGTCTGTTAAAAGAAATTATTTAACAACACTTCCAAAATGGCACCTCTATTTGATGCAATTATTCCAAAAGGCATTTTACTGAACATCAGTCGTTTGCACATGCACAACCACATTATATTTATAGATTTGTTAACGTGAGCTGGTATGAGTAATCCTTTTTAATTCATAAACGACAGTGCCAAATTTCATACACAATGCAAAATACACACATCTGTGTAGCTAATGGATTTTGCAGCAATTTCGAGAGAAGTATGGCAGTTTATCAGTTTATGTTTGCCTCTAGCATGCAATGTATTTTGTTATGAGAACAGATTTCTGCTCTTATTGAAGCATCTGTGATTCTGTGTTGCCAGGTGTGTGTCTACATTTTGATGGCAAACCGGTCCCAGTAAAGCCTTGCGGGTGATGATCTGCATGTTACTTTAGCAATACGAACCAGAACAAGGAGGTTTATAGTGTACAATACTTTATGTTATAGGGAAACAGTTCTATGGTGCTATAGAATGAAGGTCAATATGTCGCATTTCTGTTGGACTATTCAAGACTCCATTCATAAGATCCTCAATTAAAAAAATATTACATAATGTAGCCCACATAACTCCTCTGAATATTTCTTTATTACACCATCCCGAAAAGGCCTTTATTACAAGGAACGTATCAATCGCATGGATTACTGTCAGCAGGACTAGTTGTAGTACACCAATATTTCCATTGAAGCCTGCACATGGTAATAGCTCTAAAATAACGCCACAGGTAAGTAATGAATACGTGCACAATTTATAAAAAAATAGATAGAGCAAATAACAACTAGTAGCCCACCTAATAAGATGTTACCTCCACTATTTGTACCAAACGCCAGTGTGCAACTTATATGCACGTTCAAATAGGTGGAAATCCAGGGAAAGGCAAAAGGCATCCAAAAGGCAAAAGGCAGCTGTAGATAGCAAAATCTACTGGGGGCGCGGGGAAGAGTCACTGGAGAGCATCCCAGAAAACCTTCAAAGGGGTCCTAATCGCGTTTCGTCCCTGTCTTGGCACTTTCTCAGCAGCAGGACTAGGTGTCTGTTGTTTGCCCTTTTCAAACTGCATATTAAAGAAAAAAGCCTTGCACCCCCAGTGCTGCACATTCATTATAACCTGGTTCTTAAGGACCTTATTGCAGAGTGGAATACACTGCTCATTCATGGACATATATTGCCATCAGTCCTTAATGGGTTAATATGGAAACTCTAATCTGAGACTTAAAAAATAATAAAAATTGGGGGGCGTGGCTAACCGCCGAACGAGATGGCTGCTCAGTAAACTCGCTCCGGCACATGGGCTCCCTATAACCGACTCCAACACATCGCTGAAACCGTTAAGAAACCTACAAAACGATGGCAAACGCTAAAACAAAGAAATCTGCTGCTAAGGCAGAAAAAATGAGCTTCTTCGGACAAAAACTGCAACCCACGAGTGAAACTATAAGGGGGGCGGCTGCACAAGATGGCGCGGAGGACTCCGACACCACGATGCCGCACACGGACCCTGAAACACTACAACCTGCAGAATACCTCACAAAAGGCTTCTTTGAAAAAGCCATAGAGGGCATGGCAACTAAATTGATAACCACATGGCAAACGACCGCGGAACAGATTAAACGAGAGGTGAGGGATCTCTCTATAAGGACCACCTCTGTGGAGCAACACTGCACAGACCTATCATCGGCGCAAGAGGACCTGTCTCAACAACTAAAGGCCCTGCAATGCCAAATGGAACATGTGGAAGCCCGAGTAGCGGACCAAGAAGACAGGGCTCGGCGCAATAACCTGAGACTGCGCGGCGTACCGGAGACCGTCCTCATGGATGACCTGCCAATTTACGTACAGGGCCTACTCCGCGCATATGCCCCAGACATACCGACGGACATGCTCCTTGTGGACAGAGTCCACCGGGTGCCCAAGCCAAAACAACTACCCGACTCTGTACCCCGCGATGTCCTTCTGAGGGTCCACTTTTACCACATAAAAGAGCTTATCCTCCGGACACATCGCAGCAGGGCTGATCCACACGAGGACTACTCCACAATACGCATCATGGCGGACATCTCCGCAGCCACCCTCAGATGCAGAAGGGAATTTCTCCACACCACCACGGAGCTACGCACCCACGGCATTAGATACAGGTGGGGTTTTCCCACAAAAATTATACTCACCAGAAACGGGAAAACGGTGCAGATCTCGACCCCGGAGGAAGGAAAGAAACTGCTCGCCAGCTGGGGCCTAGACCATAACCCCACCACGGGAACAAGGTCTAACTCCCCCAGGCCCAGCCGCAATATGAACACAGACTGAACAAACCATTCAGGGTCGTACAGACTACTCAGCTATTAGAGGCATGCTCACTGCAAGTATACCTGAACCGTATATAGTTATCATGTAAATGTATATGTAATGTCATGTATATAGGGCCTACACACGGGCCGAGTAGCACCAAGGGCCACCAGTGGCGCAGATACCATACCCATGCCAATGCACTTCACACATAACACGCTATGCTAAAAGGCCTGCACTCGACCATGTAGGCACTTCTAAAGCCCCCATCCAAGGCTACTATGGCTCAAACATTCGCCAGCGAATTACACCACACGCACCCATGTTAACAATGCTAACGTGATCACCATCCCTGACACCACCTGCCCATTTGGGTGAGCACCCCCACGGCGGGTGTCGTCTGGCGACTCTGGACCAGACGCAACATCTTTGCCAAAAGTCACCAACCACTCCACAGTACAAAAAAAAAAGGGGCACCACACCGCCAAGATGTGCTCCACGTATAATGCATGACGGCTGGGAGGCTACAATAGGGTAGGGTAACTGCTCAGGAGATTAACCCACCTGGAATAGCTATGGATGCGGCACTGTAAATAAAATTGTGGCCACACTAATACCATAATCAAAACGCCCAAACGGGCAGCAGTAACTGTATATAGTAGGCCGCCCATGCATCTGCAATAGGCAACATAGCTAAATTTAAAACAGGCGCTACACACCATGGAAAGTTGCTAAACACATGACTCGGGGGGCAGGTCCGACACTACCCCCCAGGACACGGTGCATTTCAACACCCTAACAGTATAAAATACCGTAACCGGGCACGATGTATAAGGCCCCCACAATGTTACTGACAAGCAAGTATTGTATCTACCGACACGTCCCTTAAGGGGAAAGCGTCACACACCACCGATAGACGCACGGCACCTGGAGCTGCTTTCAAAATAAACATGTAAGACACAATGCTAATAACTGTTAAATCACCAATATGGCAATGAATGTATGCTTAGTTGATACTTGCACGCCTCCCACAAATGGAAAAGTACTGACCTCTGTTTGAAATTGTTTGAAATTGTTACAAATGTTTATGTTCTTATCTACGACAACGGTTTCGGCCCCAAACAGTTCTACACATTGGAGCCCAATTAGCCACCCAATTGGAAATCTAATTCCAAACCCCCACGGCACGACTACAGTGCCAGACCTACAGGTCACCTGTATATAACCCAACACCCCTGTCATCCCCTAGTTTCACCCTTCCCCCCCAGTTCCCTGTCAGCTGATAAACAACATCTGCAGACCAACTCCGCCTACATCGACGGAACGACACCCCCACCAACGTAACACACTACATACGCTACCTACACCATGATCATCTATTCACACAACACCAAAGGTCTAAACACCCCACACAAGAGGCGACTACTCCTGGACGATCTCAAACGAACCAAAGCAGACATAGTATGTGTGCAAGAAACCCACTTTGTCACCAACCGCATTCCTACATTTGCTGCAAGAGATTACCCCCTGCAATATCATGCAACACACACTTCAAAATCCAAAGGAGTTTCTATTCTCCTACACAACTCCCTTACAGTAGAGACACTAAGGGTCAAGAAGGACAGCCAAGGCAGATTCGTGATCCTGCAATGTATAATAAATAATAACCCAATCATATTAGTGTGCCTTTATAGTCCAAACGACATACAGCGCAACTTTCTGCACAAAGTCCTTAGGAATATACCCACAGAGGTAACAACCCCATTGGTTATATGTGGAGACCTCAACCACACCATGGACTCACGTATAGACTCAACAACGCCTAGCGACTCCAACAGGCATGTTAAATTGAAAAACGCAAACAAAGCGCTAGTAAAGCTCATTCAAGAATACGGGTTATATGACATATGGAGAACAACACACCCCCTAGCAAGGGAATACACATTCCTATCACAGACACATAAAACCTACTCCAGAATTGACCATATACTTATATCGGGCACCTTGCTCCCACAGGTGGAAGACTGCACCATTGGAAACATAGTGTGGTCTGACCACGCGCCGGTGACCCTCTCAATACACAACCAATACCAGCACAGAGGAAAACCACCGTGGCGTCTTAATGACACGCTTCTATACGATGACTCATATGTAACAAAACTGACGGAGGACCTAAGAAACTACTTTCAACTAAATGACAACCAAGAAGCATCAATACTTTCTATTTGGCAAGCTCATAAAACAGTCCTACGGGGCCAGTTGATTAGCCGAGCCTCATATCTCCACCGTCAACGCAACAAATCATTCATAGATCTGCGGAAACCATCAAGGACCTCACCAACCAACTCAACACCAAGGCGCTTGAAAAGACGGCCTACATCCTCACAAAACTGAAACTGAACTCCTATACCCAAGGTAATAAGGCAGGGAAACACTTAGCTAACGTACTCAGGCAGAAACAGGCAAACTCCAAAATCCCATTCCTGATCACCAATGCGGGAGACAAAATCCACAACCCGCAAGACATAAATGACTGTATGGCTGACTACTATCACTCTCTCTACAACCTCAACATGGACAAGACACTTCATCAACCCAAAAAACAGGAGATAGATGAATTTCTAACCTCTGTCCAACTACCCATACTTACGACCGTCCAACAAACGACTCTCACGAAGCCCATCACAATAGATTAAATAACAGACACCATCAACTCCCTCCCGAAAGGGAAGTCACCAGGCCCGGACGGACTGACTAACCTATACTATAAACGCTTTGCCCCTAACATAGCCCCCTATCTTCAAAGAGTTTTCCAACACGCACTACAACAGGGGACACTACCAACAGAGATGCTTATGGCACATGTTGCCACTCTCCCCAAACCAGGGAAACCACCGAACAAATGCCAGAACTTACGGCCCATCTCCCTTTTGAACACGGACATAAAGATACTGGCAAAAATCTTCTCTAATAGACTAACATACATAATCCCCACAATTATAGGAAGAGACCAGGTGGGGTTTGTAGGGGGCAGACAGGGAGCAGACGGCACGAGAAAGACCCTAAACCTGCTATATGAGATGCAAACTAAAAAGAACCCTGGGATTCTGTTATCGTTGGACGCAGAAAAAGCCTTCGATAGGCTAAACTGGCCCTTCTTACTAGCAGTCCTACAAAAATTCGGCTTCCCTGACCAATTCCTATCGCTAGTCAAAGCATTGTACTCGTCACCAACCGCCCGAGTAGTAAATGGAGGATTTATATCCAAACCGTTCACCATATCTAATGGTTCCCGACAGGGATGTCCACTCTCCCCACTGCTCTATATCCTAGCGCTAGAACCCCTTACCCAACTCATCCGAGAACACCCAGACATACACGGCATCACAGTAAAAAGGCGGGAACACAAAATGTCCCTATTTGCAGATGACATCCTCCTAACCCTTGAACAACCAAGCGTGTCACTGCCAAATTTTCACAAAATTCTCTCCAACTACAGTAACTGCTCCTATTACAAATTAAATATCGCAAAAACCCTAGCACTAGGCATAAATATTCCACACACAGACCTGACAACATTGAAGCTAAACTTCACATATGACTGGAGGAGAGACCACATTAAGTTTCTAGGGGTCAACTTCACTCCCAAAGCGAATGCATTATATAAGGCAAACTATGCCAAACTACAAGCAGAAATCCAAACTATCCTACAAAACTGGAAAGGCAAATATATCTCATGGACAGGCCGTATAGCAGCGGTGAAAATGGTAATCTTACCGAAAATTCAATACCTATTCCGCACCCTGCCGATCAAGCTCCCGAAACGTTACCTACTAGAGCTGCAGACCATCTTAAACAACTACATCTGGGACTATAAAAAGCCGAGGGTCGCTAAGACAACCCTGCACAGACCATCCGCCCAAGGTGGAATGGGACTCCCCGACCTCTTGGGGTACTACAGAGCTGCCCACATAACCCCCCTGGTGACTATCTCACACAGACAAGAACCCACATCCTGGGCCGAAATAGAAGAAAGCCACGCAAAGGGGTTATCTCTTCCACTCCTAGCATGGCTACCAAAAATCCACAGGCCAAAAGCAACCGAACTACTGCCCACAACCGCACTGACCCTTACAATCTGGGACACATATCGTAAGAAAATGGGAGACACAGCAACGCTCTCCCCAGCACTCCCACTGGACGCGTTCAAAGTATTGATACCAGATTTTAACTATAGACTTTGGAAAAGACATGGGGTGAACACCATCTCACAAATAATGCAAGGCAACAAACTTAAGCCACTGCCAGATCTTCGAACAGAATTCCAACTGTCCGGCACAGCAACCTTCTCCTATAGGCAATTGAGATCGTGGGTGCTAGCCCAGCCAACACCACAAATGATACAACCACCAAACACACACTGGACAACAGTTATTAAAATGTGCACAAAGACTAAACCCACCACAAAAATCATCTCCACAATATATGCCTCAGAACACACACGACTACTGACCAAACCACCATCCTTTATAAAAGTATGGGAACAAGACATAGGTCACCGGCTGACCGCAGAACAATGGCAAACCATCTACTGTACGAATAAACGAATGACACTATCCACGACACACGTGGAGCTATCCCGCAAGATCCTGTACAGATGGTACCTAGTACCCACAAGACTCAAACATAGTTTCTCGAACACATCAGACCTATGTTGGAGATGCGCAACAGACAAAGGAACCATGATACATATTTGGTGGCACTGCCCAACACTTCGACCCTTTTGGTCCCAAATCAGAGCACTGACGACACACTGCACAGGAGTGTGTCTACCAAACACACCAGAAACGCTCCTACTTCTCCTACTCCCACAGACACAACACACGCACATACGCTACTTAGTGTATCACATTATAATA